CCCACTGCATTGTGCTAGAGTCACTCAGAAGAGGTTGTGAGGATGGGAAGAGGTAGAAGAAGAGGTTATGGGGATGGAGAGAGGGAGAAGAAGAGGTAGTGGGGATGGGGAGAGGGAGAAGAAGAGGTAGTGGGGATGGGGAGAGGTACCTATTGCTAGTCAGCACAGCAGCCTGGCACTGCACCCTTGGCCAAGCTCCATGCTTCTGAGCAGCCAGCCTTAGCAGAAAGGATGTCATCAGGAAGCTGAGTGCATTGCAGAAAAGAAGGATTTGTCCCACAGTGGATGCACTTGTATCTAGAAGCCAGAGTCTGCTGTGGCTGGTCCCATAAATCCCATCTCCAAAAATGACAGTGCAGTAGAATACCAGCCCATTGCTTACAATGCCTGCTCAGTTTTTCATGTGAAGATTAGTAAAATTCATAAAGAAAGTGTTTTGCAGCATTTTTTATGAGAATGTTTGCTATCATTTAACAAAGGATAATAGTAAATTCACAGGGGTGGAGGCTTAGCAGGTTTGCTGTAGAACATAAATTACTAAAGTTGTTCAAGCAATTACCTCAATTAGCTGTGCAATTTAAATTCCTTGGCATGAGTGATGCCATTTAGCCTAATGAATCCCTTTTGTTCCTGATAGATGCTGTATCTCCAGCCATCCATCTGACATCAGCCCTGTGTCTCTGGTCTCTGCCCCCCAGGGCCTCTCTGCTTGACTGTGCTGGGTGTGTGGTGAGGAGGGAGCAGAGCAATGTTCTGCATTCTGCCATCACCAGTTCATCATCTAATTAGCATTGATGGTGGTACCATCATTTCCCCACCAGCTGAACCAACCTTGTCACAAGTGAGTGCTAACGCTGAAGGTGTTTTAATTAGTCTCATTTATATAAATAGAGTAAGAAAAGAAAGGAAGGTGGGCATTTGGTTGGGTTAATGGTCAATTTGTGCTGAGGGGGGGGTTGTGCTCAGGAGGTGTTATGTGTAGGGCTGCATGGTGATGGGTAGAAAGCTTGCTGTCAGTGCAACTGGTGGGCAGAGGGAAGGGCTCTGCTTAAGAAAAAGGCAAATATAAACTGTTTGCTTGTGCTTCAGTTTGTCTCTGTTGACTGTGCTCAGCACAGCAAATTTGTTTATGGACTGAAAATTTGTTTATAGTTAGAGGTGCAATAAAAACTGTTTGCTTTGAAGGCAGAGCATATTAGTCAGGGAAAAGCATCCTGTTCTGTAACTAGATTCATCTCCATTTGTTATTGATTTCTAAGTGATCTGACAGGTTGGAGGGCTGGCTGTGCCGTTAGGGCAGCTGGTGGTGATCCATGGTGCCTGCATGCACCCTGGGGGGCTTCCCTGGAGAGAGGGGGAGTCTCCATCCCTAGAGGTGTTCACATCCATGGGGATGTAGCACTGAGGGAGGTGGGCAGTGGGCACAGTAGGGGTGGCTGGTGGGTCTCAGAGGGTCTTAATGATTCTATGATTCTGTGGTTCTCTTCCAGGAGTGCGTGTGCAAAGAGAAGTTTACCAACGGGAAAGCAATAAAATGCACTTCCAACCTGTGTGCCCATGTCTGAACTGAGAGCCAGACAAACTCTTGTCCATTTGGGTGAGCATTTCCTTGAGCCTTTCACGATGGGAGGACGTAAGATCTGAGGCAGTGATGGAGAACTCGCAATAGTTTTTGACATCACTGAGGTGATGCACTTCAGGACCTGAGCAGCTGCTGTGCTGAAGTTCCCAGTACCAGGGAAAGGGTTGTTCAGCACTGGAGTAGGTTTCCCAGGGAGGTGGTTGAGTCACCATCCCTGGATGCATTAAAAACCATTCGGATGTGGTGCTCAGGGACGTGATTTAGTGGAGGGCTGTTAGAGTTAGGGTAGGATGGTTAGGTTGTGGTTGAACTTGATGGTCTTTAAGGTCTTTTCCAACCTGAGCAATTCCGTGATTCTATCTGCAGCAGCATTGTTTAGGTTTTCAGCTTTCCAATTTCCCTAAGTGGCTCTGATGTTGCCTCTTTGTCCATAAAGAGCACAGAGGAAATTAAGTTGCGGGAGGTGTAAGCGAAATGCCTGCAGACAGGGTGGAGGAGGCTGCAGTACAGTCTGCATATCACCCATTTGATTCTCCTCTCAGCAAATTACATTATTTTCATTTTCTCTTATTATAACTGCAACCTCATCCTAGCTGGTACTCTCGTCTTTCAGTCTGCAAGATAATTCGTTTAACTGCAGCTGCTCCTTACACAGGGTTGTGTGCCTCACTCTTGCTGTTGTAATTCCAAACACATTCCACCCAAGAGATGGCATTTTGGGTACTGTTCTGCCAGCACTGTGCAATGGGAAGTTATTGCTATTGCTTCTTTCATAACAAATTCATCCTCGGTCAGAAAGGTCCGAGCTGGAATATAAACACTGCAATTATCAATAACACAGCTTGAAGGGAACCAAAGCTCGCTCTCTGTTGGTGTCATATGCTTAAAGTGTTTTTTAGACAGATGAGGCAATCTCCTAAAGACAATAATATCACACGTGATAAATATGATAATTTACTTGACATGGCAATGGTGTGTGAATGTGAGCACCTCCTTGGCTGTTAATCCTCTGAAGGATTAATGGAAACAACAGTGCCATCACTCACAAGAGCCAGAGTGCAGCAGGGTGAGATTCCTAAAGGACCATAGGATCATAGAATGGCTCGGGTTGGAAGGGACCTCAAGGATCATGAAGTTCCAACCCTCTGCTGCATGCAGGGCCACCAACCTCCACATTTCACAGCAGCCCAGGCTGGCCAGAGCCCCATCCAACCTGGCCTTGAACACCTCCAGGGGCATCATGGGGGCATCACAGCCTCTCTGGGCAGCTGTTCCAGCACCTCACCACTCTCATAGCAAAGAACTTCCCCTTGACATCCAACATCAATCTTCCCTCCTTCATCTTAAAACCATTTCCCCTCGTTCTGCTGTTATCTACCCTGGAAAAGAGTTGACTCCTCTCCTGTTGGTAGGCACTTTAGGTACTGGAAAGCTGCAATGAGGTCACCCTGCAGCCTTCTCTTCTCCAGGCAAAAGTTACTGATCTGAAGCAATATATTTTTATTTGTCTTCAGGTGCCATTCTGTTGTTGCATATTAAGGACAATGGCAAGATATTGAGAGGAAATATTCTGTGTTTCAGTGCCTCTCTAATAAAAGTCAATCTCCGGAGTTAAGAAGGAAGCAGCTTCCTGGAGGACCCAGAAGTACACACCAGACCAAAAGATGCTCTTCTATAGCATCACAGAACCATAGATTGGCTTGGGTTGGAAGGGACCTCGAGGATCATCAATCTCCAACCCCCCCACCACAGGCAGGGCCACCAACCTCCACACTTAATACTAGAATACTTTAATACGTAGATATTTAATTAAATTAACATTTAATAGTAGAATACTTCAATCCCAGCTCTAGTGGGGAGAAGTATTTCCATAAAAACACCCAGAAATGGAACAACTTCAACTTGTCAAATAATATTCATTGCACCCAAAACATGGATTACTACTGTGTTAAATCCAGATATAACACAGTGAGAATCCGGGTAAGTAATTGTTTCTTATTGGTTTTTGACATTTTAAAAGCTCCATCTTCAGCATGAGGCTGATGGCGTGAGCAGCGTGCTGGGCTAAGTCTTGTTTCCAGAGCAATGGAGGAGATGAGGGATTTGGGGCTCCAGTATCTGCAGTCACTGCCGTTGTGGGACTTCTCAGCGCCACAGCAATATATCACCTCTTCTTATAAGTCTGTCTTGTGCAATCTCTAAACAAGTAAAATAATTTTTTTAGCTCCCGTATCCAACTCCCTGAATAACCTGGAAACTCATCCAGCCACCACGTTAATAAAACCTAATTCTAACCAATGAGCAAAACCAAGTTTTCTGAAGCAGCACCTTTTTATCGCGTCCTGACAGCGTGACAAAACCAACATGTTTTGGGGCAGCTCTTCCCGTTTGGCTGGGTTCCCCTACAACAAGCCGTGAAATCCGCTGGTCCCCCTCAACCATCCCAGCCCAGTTTGGCAGCCTGGCCCGCCTGGGGCAGCCTCTGGTGCTGTGATCATCCGTTGTAATCCTCTGCTCAGCACAGGGTTGACTTGTTGGGATCAGGCTTTTTGGGCCCCTGTCCAACCACTCTACAATAATCCTCCTAAATGCTGACTTTGCTCACTCTTTATGGGTGACCACCTCCAGAAATTAACTGCTGTCATTGCCAGGAGTGATTTTTCCTTATATGCATTTGAAATTCACATTGTTGCAACTTTTTACCCTTCTCTCCTCTTTTTTTTTTTTTTTTTTGGTATTTTTTAAACTGAAAAATGCTTGTTTTCATTAAGGTAGAATCCAAACTAAAAACATACACAAAACTAAAAAAATAATCGAAGCTCTACCACAAAATGGAAATCCTCCATTTGAAAGCATGCTCTAAAGCAAGCACACAGGCTGCACGTGCTCAAATCCATGCAGCTGGCCTTCTGGGGTCTCAGTGGGCTTCTGAATGAACAGCAGGGTCTATTCTGATGAATATGACTGTGAGAGTAGTTTGGGGATGATAACACAGTATCAGGAAATGCATATAAAATAATAATTCATAATAAACTCATGAAGATTCCTTCAAATAAAATCCCATTTACATCCTTTATTTTCTATAGGGAAATTAAGGATTGCTGGTAGTAGATTTTTTTTTTAAATTCTTGAGAGACACAGCATTTGCAGCCTTCTGCTCCCAATGTCTGTGTAGCAGACCAAGGAAGAGAGCAGAACAAGTGTTGGCCATATCTCTGAGATTAAAGACCACTGTATGGGAGTTGCTTAGCCACAGCCTGAAGCAGTGATTGAGCACCTGGCGAAGGGATGAACCTCCCTGGGAGCACAGGTGGAAGCAATTCAACCTTGTGACTGGAAGGGATGGACCCTGTCTCCACCCCTCCCTGACCACATTTAAGGGCTGGCAGCCACGAGGAAAGGATGCCTACCTGGAGATCCCTCCTTTTGGAGTTTTTGGTGAGCTCTGTTCATCGGGATGGGTAAGGAGATCTTTCTTTCTTCTTTTAACCAGATTGTGACTGTTGTGATGCTTCTCTGGCATCACCTTTCCCTACAACCATCCTCAGTAGAACCTCCTGCAGGGAGGTGCTTCCTGCTATTCTTCCAGCTCAGGGATGCTGATGTGGGACAAGATACTCTGATAAAGATTTGAAGAGCAGACCAGATCGTGACTTTCATTTGCAGTGGTTCCTGCTTCATAATCCTGAAGGACAAACCCAGGGGAGCACATTCAGGCAGATCCTAGGAGTTCTGAGAGTATGCTGCAGGGCCAACAAGCACGGAGGCTCCTGTTCACAGTCCTGCAAGGCATTTTGTACAGTACTCTTACACAAATTATGTTACGTTTTGGTTTCAATGTTCTTTTTCTCAATTTCCACTTGTTCTGCTGCATTACCTTATGGCAAAGGTTTTTTTGAGGAGCTAAATCTAAATCTCACTGAAGTATTTAATTAGAAATAGCCTCACATTTAAACCTTAAAGGCTTTGCTTCTGAGCCTGGCTGATGTGTGCCAAACCACTGTGGATGTTAAGGTGAGAAGCCCTCGCTTAATGGCACCCTCACATCCCCTTTCCATGGGTAGCAGCTGGCAAACAAGCAGGTAGGCTGTTATGATGTGATGTGTTCCATTGGATTTATTGAGCGAGGAGTAATGACCTGAAAACTGGAACCGTTTGAACTCAGTTGTAGCAAATAGGTACAAATTTTTGTGTATATTAAGAGTGCTGGAAAAAATTCAGACTATTTCCTTGTGCCATCAAGAGCCGTTAGTAGATGCCAACATGCAGTGCCAGAAGGACTATAAATTCCAGAGCAATAATATGAAGGCTTTCTTTTTTTAAAATTTTTTTATATCCTAGGTTAACCACAAGTCTTCTGCAAGTGCTGAAAAGCAGTTTGCTGCCCTTGCCTCATCAGCTGTGCAGATACAGTTAGTACCTGTGCTGGATGGATGGTGAGCTGGCTTGTGCTGAGTGGTACCTTGTACCTGGGGGAGAGCCTGAAGACTGAGCATGCAGCTTCTGCTAGGTGCTGTGCATGCATTTCACCTCTTTTTGCCTTAATTTGATGGGTGCAAGTAAGTATGGGCTTGTAATTTTTAATGGAAATATTAAATTAGGCAAACTACTGCAAACACTGTTTGTTAATTCAATATTTCACTTACAGAGGCTGATGGAGTCTGGCCTGTAGGCATAGGTGGGGGAATTGTTACAAGAAGTTGAGCTGGGCTCTGCTTTAGGAGCTGGGATGTATGCTGGAGTTCTTCCCCTGACCTGGAGCTGCCTTGACATGTGCTGCTGTTCTGACTTTCTCAATGGAACCTCGTGGGTGGTGAAGTGACTTGAGAAAATCTGATCCAAAACTGCTTAAAAATAAAAAGTCATCTGGGAACATTGGTCGGATGCTGATAGTCATTAAATTCTGGGTTTTTAATAGGAAAATTGTAGCAATGTAACTTTAACTTTCCATAAACTACACTCCACGTGCAGATTCATAAGTCAGTTCACTCAAGCCCAGCTGAGATCTCTCTATTTTGCAAACTATTATGGGCAACAATTAAAATTAGTACTGGAAGTACTAGAATTGTTTTGTTTCCTCACTTCTCTTCATGCACAGAGGAAAACACATGTAAATTCAAACACTTCAGCTGTGTGATTGATGTATTTCATCTCCCAGCTCTGTGATCTTCTGTCTTGCCGCCATCTGCACAAAGGTTTCTTTGCAGCTGCCTGATTTCCCTCATCCCTGCAGGCTGTTTGCTGGGGGTGGTTGGATCCCCTGCCTGGGGTCTGAGGTATGGGATGTGGGCAGGTGGCCCTGGGACTGCAGGCACTGAGTCCAGGCATGGGATGCTCTCAATGCTTTTCCTGCACAAGATGGATCATGGGATCATAGAATGGACTGGGTTGAAAAGGACCACAATGTGCTTCTAGTTTCCCCTTCTTTGCTACGTGCAGGGTCACCAACCACCAGAGCAGGCTGCCCAGAGCCACATCCAGCCTGGGAAGATGGATGTGAAGATGAGATGTCCTGGAGGAGGAAGGAGACCTCCAAAGGGCTTGGGATGAACACCCAGTCTGATGAGGCAGGAATCATTACCCAGGTGAGGGTCCTTCTTGGCTCAGTATTTTTTGAGGTGTATTGCATTCAGTACCTAGGCTTCATTGCTGGCAGTAATTAACAGGGGAGGTGGCTGTCTTTAATTATGCCTTTTAATGAGCCAGCCCATAATGCCGGCTGTCACATATCCACTGTGAGATCTTGCTGCAGCTATTGGGTGCAGTCCTTCCTTGCCATCTTGTTGCATGGAACAACTCTACTAGCCTTCCTTAGGTCCTTCCTAAGGGCTGGTGGAGTCACCCAGAGCTGCCTGGGAAGGCTGAGATGTGGTGGCATGTGTTTATGTTCTCCTGCAGGAAGGTTGAGAGTGGGGAGGATGCAGTGACAGCAGCAGATGGGGGTGGCTGTGGCTCATCAGCTGGTGATGTGATTTGCTACGCCCGTGATGCTGGGTGCTTGTGGTGCTTCTCCAAAGAAGGCATCAAAAGAAAATTCTGGATGTGTCCATTACTTAAAAAAGAAAAAAGTGAACTAGAGAGGAGGGGAATGTTTTTTAATATGCTTTCACTCTTTTCTTTGAGACAGCCTTTTCTTTAGCAATGTAATTATTCTTAAAATGCAGCTGACCTTTCACTTCTGCAAACCTTTGCAGTTTTGCCCAGTGATGTTTTAGTTAAAACATCAGACGTAAAGAACTGAGCAGTTGGGAGATTCCTCTTTGATTTAATTGCCTTTAGCCACATGTAGGTTTGTGCATCTACATGTGGGGCTGCGCAGGTTCTTTCTGGCTTAAATCCCTCTCGTAGAGGGGTGAAAAATCATTCAAAGTAGTAGTTATGTGGGCTATGTCCTCTTACAGAACTGCTACAAGGGTTGATCAGCTGGTACAGCTCAGCACAGTGCGCCAGCATCCACAAAATGGGAATATATGTATGTATATATTGAACATACAACTGAGCACCCAAAGATGGGAGAGCTGAGAGCAGAATGCACCAGCTCTTTCTGCTTTGTGGAGATAATACAGCAGTCAGTTCATCAAATTAAAACAAATGTTTTCATAATGCGGAGTAATAGAAAATGATTTTATTAGTGTGCACGCTTAATTCTGATAAATGATTGTCTGTGTCCTCCAAGATGACATGAAATGATACTGTGTTGCACAACAAGCAGAAAATACAGATCTAATCAAATTTCTGGGGGTTGTCACAACATTCGTTCAAATGAACACAGTGTAGGGCTATAATCTATCATGCATCTTGTGGCACGTTGCCATACCCCATCACCCTCCTTTTCTGTCACCTTTAGGCAAATCAAATAATGCTCTTTCAAAGTAACAGGTATTCATTTATGTACTGTTTTCTGGTCTCCGTTAGGTCTGAATCTGAGCAGAAATTGTGTTTCTCTGGGCTGCATTTTGCACCTGGGCCTGAAGTCAATTCATTATCTGCAGTTCAGAGCATGAGAATTAATCCCAGGTTGGAGGCAGCCCTGCAGTGGGTGAGGGAACTGAATCCAAGGACACTGCATCTGCCCTCCTGGTGCTGAGCTTCTGACAAGCAACTGCTTCCCTCTATTCCTCGTTATTTAATTAACACCAATGCTTCCAGCAGTTTGATGGGCTGGGGAGGTCCTCAGCCTTTGGATCTACTGATTGGGAGGAGGCATTTCTTTCATGTTAACAGCATGCACTGCAGTGCTCCCATCGGCACACACAGGTCAGTGCTGGCATTTTGGGGAATTATTCCCTTATTTTTCACCATTTTCCTCTATTTCCCCATTCCAGCTGCAGATGCTGCTTCTGCCCTGCCTCATTGGCAGAACCCCTCATGGCTCTGCTCACTCCTTCTCCATGGTGGTTTTAACACCAGGACTGCCACACTCTTGCTGAGGAAACAAGAAAGACCACAGCCTGACTGTACTTTAAATAACCAGGTAATGCTTCAGTATCTCAATTACTTTGTCAAGCAGCTTGCATCATATCTGAAAAATGAGTTATAATTTGGGGACTGGCTGTAGTGACCTTTGGAGGTCCCTTCCAACCCGTGTTTCTGTGATTATCAGTCGTGGGTAAGCAGAACTGGCAGCTGAACGAGGTACAGGGGCTTTAATGAAGCGCTGAGCTTGGGAATGATCTGAGGGTTGGCACACCTCTACAGCAGTGGTTTCTGTTTATGTTCTTCAAGCATGTTTTTCCTGGAGAACACAGAGGCCCACACAGCCATGGATGGGGCATGCTGTCATTTTGAGTCACCGTATTTTGGGGTGGAATAGGGAAGCTCCTTAAAAGCAGGCAGTGTCACATTTGCAGCTTTGTTTTCATGGATGAATATTGCTTTGAGACTAATGTAAGCTGTGTGTGTGTTATTTGGTATCAAAAGTGTGCTGTGAAACTTCATTTCAGAGTACTCTCAAGGTCATTTATATGCATGTAACGGGTGGATAAGTCAAGCAAAGAGCCCTTCTCTGCCACTCTGGGCACCAGGTCATGCTGAGACATCCATACAGGGGGCCAGAATAGATACCAGCACAAGTTTGTTGCTTTGCTACCCTGCTTTCTGCCTCACGTATCCATCTGCTCAGCTCTGTTTCTGCAGAGCACAGAGGTGGTGGCTGAGGTTTGTGACATGGGGGGGAGATGGTAGAGTCAATGGTGAAGGCTGACATGTTGTGGAGGGACAGCTGGTAGGAAGCTGGCATCACTGTGCTCTGTGAGCCCACCCTGAGCTGGCAATTCATTGAGAACCTTTTTGGAGACTGTGTGTTGTTTTGTCTGATAGAAAACACGCTTTGCAAATGAGCTCCTGAGCACCTTAGGGGGGGTGCTTTTCTTGCATGTTTGCAATTTTCAGTTCAGGCATGGATGGCTGTGAACTTCGCAATGAGAATGACACTTGAGATCTGTGTAAAGGTCAGTTTTTTAATTGTGCCTTATAGATAAAAGAAACATCTACATCGATACAGTCTAATAGCATTGATTTCAGCACGGAGTTTTCAATTATTATTCAGAATTCTCTGTTATCTTGCTGCAGTCCCACAGCCTTAGCAGGTAGTGCAGTGCTCCATGAGGTAACCTTTACCTCATGCTGGTGTCAAAAGTGAGTTGTGATGTGCACTCCCTGCCTTTCCACAGTGAGCTGTCTGGGTAAGGAAGGTATTTGTTGCTTTAGTGCAGACTATGATGCGCTGAGGATGCCTTCAGTTCTGATATGGTACATCAGCTGTTTGCAGATCTGCTGGTGCACAAACAAGCCAAGATCTCATCCACGCAGGAAGCTGCACTACAGGACAGTGGAAGGAAAGGTTGTGATTATCCCATTACAAAAAGAGAAGGATGTCTTTACATTGGGATCATTGCTCATGTTTTAGAGTGACCTTGTAAAGCGTGGTTCTTCACAGGGGGTTCAATGCTAAATAATAATGCTTCTGCTCAGTTGTGAACACCTTGGGTTTATCTAGGAGGTATCATTCACCTGTTTCCAACACTTCTACGTGATCAACTGAAGCCAAAACACGTCTGCTTCTTGCAGGTATACCTGTAAGCTGTTAGTAGTGCTCAGAGCAGAAACAGGTACTCTCTGCTTTCTCAGTAGAGAGCCTTTCAGCGTGTGAAAGGTTATGGTATAAGCTCAGACAGTGTCTCCATGAACATATCAGGATAATGGTGGGCACATCTCCATCGACAATTCACAGCCCAGAACTTCCTCTGGGGTGTTGGAGTGTGGTACAATGGTCTGCTTGTCCCTGGCTTGGGATGGAGGTGCCTGGAGTTGTGCCTGGGGCTGCTATGGTTTGGGCAGCACATACATCACCACCCAGTTGTTGTTTGTTTGTTTTAATTTCAGAAATATTGGGCTGCTCTGAGCATCCCAACACTTGCGAGTAATCTTTGGACTACCAATTGACCTCAGAAAAGAATGCTTTAATTATACACATGCTTCTCTTAAATCAATAATGAATTGCAGTTCTGCGGGGCAGTTTGGTGGGACTATTCCCATAAATAATGCTGTCAAGGAATACCTGGCTGGTGGTGAAGTATGGCAGAGCAATGAAGTTCAGGGCAAGAAGAGTCTTAGACTGAAACTGTGAACTTGGAATTCTGTACACTTTGCACAGAAACTAGAAAATGTGCATATATGCAATTTCAGATTCAGACAATATATGTAACTTATGCATATATTACATATATGCACTGGAACAGGTTGCCCAAGGAGGCTGTGGATGCCCCATCCCTGCAGGCATTCAAGGCCAGGCTGGATGTGGCTCTGGGCAGCCTGGGCTGCTGGTTGGTGACCTGCACACAGCAGGGGGTTGGAACTGGATGATCATTGTAGTCCTTTTCAATGCAGGCCATTCTGTGATTCTGTATAAACATATATCATAGATGCATATAAAATATTATTACTCTACAGTTGCATTGACTATAATCATGTAGCTTGCATGCATTCTAATAAATTCATCATAGGAAAAGATCAGGCAGGTGCCAAGTGCTGCAAAATGACCTGGACGAAGAATGCAGAGGGTTTAGGAGTGCTTTGCATAAATAGGAGGATTATGCTCTTCGTGGAGCAAGCTGTGTTCAAGTTAAAATCGCAAATGTGTGACAAGCATTCAGATAGTAAATTTTGTACCTCCAGTGATTCTGTGATAGAAATGCATGTCTACATCTGTATAATGTGCAAAAATAGATAAAGTAGGTTTTTATGAAAACAGTTTTCTTGGGAACTGTTTTAACAGTTTAAAACTTTCTCTTGCATAGTCCCTGCACTCCTAACGTGGGTGGAAGGCTCCATCTCCCCCCGGAAGCCCAGGACTGAGCCCATATCCCTTCCAGGACCTGGCTTCAGCACCTGCTCAGTGCTGGGCAGCCTGGCACGCTTTCTGATTTGTTTCTTTGAAGAGTGATATGCTGATTCAAATTGCACAGGAGAAAGCAACAACACATCTCTGTATTGTGATGGGGCTATCAACACTGCCTGGCTGTACGAGGACGTGTTCAAATGGGTTTCCTTTCTCAGCACATGGGATACAGGAGGGCAGCAAAGCATCATCTCTAGGCATGGCTGTGGTGAACCACTCGTTCATCCTTCTTGTATCTGCAGGTCAGCTGGTGTGTGTGTGTGTGTTCTTCAGTAAACTAAGTGCCAACTTCATCACGTCTCCCTGTTATCACAGTGCTGTATTCCATGCGTCCAAATTCCATACATTGGTATTTATACTGAACTATCAGTGGAATCACTGACCCTGGAGGCGTTCAAGGAATGTTTGGATGTTGTGTTGAGAGATGTTGTTTAGTGAGAGCTATTGGTGATAGGTAGGTGGTTGGACTGGATGATCTTGTAGGTCTTTTCCAACCTTGGTGTTTCTGTGATCGCATCCTGCTCAGAGAGCACCCCTCTGCTGCTGCACAAATAGGAAAAACTTCTGCTTCACCAAAGCTCATAATGCCTTTGAGGCATTGGATTCCTCTGGTAGCATTTCCCAATCAAAGTACTAAAATGAGAGTTTTATATCCAGCCAGTACTCTTCTCAAGCTGATAAAGGCAAATGAGGGATCATTTATATGATTTAGGTTATGAGAGGAGTATAGGAAGAGAAATGCTTTCCTTATATTATTTCCCACCTGTATAAATATGCAGCTGCTGTTTCTAATAAATCTTACTTTAAAAAACTGGCACTGTTATGAAAGATGAGGGATAGATTCCCAGGGCTTTATCTTCCTGCTGCTCCAGCCCATGGTAGCTCAGGTGGGATTTCCCTCCTCCAACCCTTGAATCAGCAGGCAGAAACTGTGGGTTCTGGCTGAAATGGGAAGGATGCTCCGAAGTGAGATGTAGCTGCAGCAGCCTGAAGGCAGAAGGAGGGCTGTGCTGTGATTGGTGTTGCTGGGGGTAGGGGGGTGGAAAGCCAAATTCAACAGCAGAGGAGAAATTAGGGGCTTGAAAATACCAGCAAACCGAAATGAAAAGGATGCGAATTATCAACTCTGATACCTCACTCTCTTTATTTTTGTTTGGATATATAAGTAATATTTTGTGGTAGACACAAATCTTGAAATTTTCCACTTTCTATTTTTGTGGGAGATCGGGTTAACTTATCCTTTATCCTGCAAGTTTCCATCCTGAATCCTCTGTCCTAAAATTTCCTCCTAATTCCTAGCTATTTTGTATATTTAGGTTTGAGAAGGAGTGAGAACTGAGGATTTCTGTCCTTCAAGGAGATGGCGTGAATTAGTGGTAGGAAGGGGTGGCACAGGGGCAGTGATGAGGGTGGGGAGATGCTGCACTGTGTTGGGCAGCAGCTCACTGCTCTGGCAGCAAATCTTGGTTCCATTCCTGGCAGGAAAACACCTGCACATGGTGATGGAAGCAGGCTGCTAGGCTGTTGTTACAGTGCTGATGGGGGAGCCTGAATTATGCAAGGCTTGACTGAAACATCATGTAGCTGAGAGTAAGGTCATGCTAGCTCTACTACTGTCTCTAAACCTTTGTTCTTGAAAGAATCATCAAGGCTGGAAAATACCTCCAACATCATCCAGTCCAACCATCCACGTACCGCCAATATTCTCCCCTAAGCCACATCCTGTAGTACCACATTAAACTCTTCCCATAGATGGGGACTCCACTGCTCCCACGGCAGCCCATTCCAGCCCCTGATTGCTCTTTCACTGAATACAATTGGGATGAGGTGTGGAAATACTAAATTTGTACATCGTGTACATTCCTGGTTTTTATTGATGCAGGAGTTGGTATTCCAGGTTGTTATAACCACGTGGATCAGGTCAGTTTTTCCTTACAATAAAAAAAGTGGCTTAAACAGTAGCTGTATTTTTTTTGTTTTTAATTTCTGAGACTATTTCTCCTTCCAAATGCAGTGATGTTATCTCCATTGGTGACCTTATACCTGAAAGAGATGCCATTGGGTTTAAAGTGGCTGCTCCACTCCAACCTGGAAACACAGTAAGCTCATCCTAATTCCTATGTCATCTTATTTCTACATAGGACTCTGCCATTCTTGTCTGCTTGACATGAGCTACCAGCGCTGGTGATTATTCATTTGTGCTGACTGTTAGTGATAGTAATAAAATGTTGACAATGCCTTAGGGTAAAGCTTTCAAAAACGCTTTTTAATAAACTGTGGAAACTGTTGTTTCAGCAATTGGAAAATAATTAAGAAGCAATTACAGAAGCAAACAGAAATCCTGAGCGTACAGCCAGGCCATTAAAATATGTTCTCTAAGAAATTACCACAGCCACACTGGAAAGAAAAGCTACATTTAAATAAAGTTATGGCTATAATGAACTGAAAAGGAAGAAAAAACGAAGCAATTCACGCTGGAAAGAGTAAGTACTTGTCTGCCCCCCGTCCCCTGGCTCACTGTCAACTTATGGTAGTTTTTCTTTCCTTAATTTTCTTATACAGAGTAATAGTTGCACATTCTGGAGTCTTTTTTTTTCTTACTTTGTTTCTCAGCAAGCATTGTGCTGCAAACATGAGTGCAGGTGGAACAGGAGGGAGAACAGCTTCATGCCTCCTTTCTCCAGCAAGCAGGTAACGGTGCAGTGAAGAACTCTGATATCTGCTTTTGTGGTGGGAATGCTTCCTGTTCCAGGGATGGCAGCATGAGACCCATTGCTCACCAACGCGTACGGCATATCGCCATATCGATCAAATGCTGCTGCACTGAAAGTCAGGCTCTGTCCACCTGCCAATACAGAGGGATGCTTCTGATTATAAATTCTCTATGTGGAGTGGTGGCTAGCTCATTGAGAAAGCAAAAATCAATGACGTTACCACTCATAAACCACATTCCTTGTGCCTGCTTCTCAGCACAGCCCTAATTGTCATACTATGTCTGTCAACTTGGCTTGCATCATAGCAATGTCCAAAATGATTCAAGGAGATTCAAAGGAAGAAATAGGTGCAAAAGGCCCCCACCAAAACAGTACCCAGTGCCAAAAACTCATCTCTTACAGAAGGCGAGAGAGGGGTGAAGGTCATGGCTGAAACTGCTCCTTTTTCACTGCAGGATGTGAGTTCTCCAACTCCCTGAAAGAAGCATGTAGTGAGGTGGGGGTCAGCCTCTGCCCTGGCAATGAGATGAGTGGGTCAGGATGGTATCACAGCAATGGCTGCTCCAGAGAGCAGCCAGGTGCTGGCACAGCTGCCCTGGGGTGGGCAGTCCCCATCCATGGAGGTGTTCAGAGCTGCAGGGATGTGGCACTGAGGGACGTGGGCACAGTGGGGTGGGTCGTCTCTCAGGAGCCTTTTCCCACCTGAATTCTAATAACAAGATAGACAAGAATTCTAATAATGAGATAAATGAGTCATCCTGAGTGTGAACCTGCTGTTTAGTCATTGAAATCTGGTGAGTGGGTATTTTGGTTGCTTTACTTGTTTAGAGTTAATTTATTTAAACCTGCATGGGGTTGGATCGAGGGGAAAAGAATCAAGCTGATGAGAGACTTTGTTTCTCAGTAAGATAACTGACAACTGTCTATCTGCTGTTTACAATACAGAATGGGCATCTTGTGATTTTCTTGTAATGACCTGAGTTGAATGGCACAGCCATTTGTGTTATGGGACTTGAAGAGGGGATGATGGCACAGCGCAGCCAGCCTTCACAGCCCTGCATGGCTCCACTGAGACACAGATAAAAGCTTGCCCCCCCTTTCTGCCACGTCTCCCATTCAATGAGGTGCAGGCAATGAGCAAATTTGTCAAACGCCCATTGTGCTGACTCAGCTCTCCAGCTATCTGTTGGGCATTACATTTCACCCTGGTGCAGAGCCTTTTGAGTTTCCCTTGGTGAATAAATTACAAATGCTAATTTCTGCTCAGTTGAAGAGAAGATTAAGGCAGCGTAACAGACAGGCATGCCAAAATATTTATTGAATAAGTTGCAAAAGCGAAACAAAAAGGCTGTGTATTTCAAACTGAGTGCTGAGCAGGGCTCCAAGCTGAATTTAACATCAGCTCCTTTATTCACCCAGAATCCGATTTAGTGCGAGTATATTATATCCAACATCTGTATCCTGAAATCCACTGCTGAATAAGCTTCTAAAATTCTATTTTCTGCAGTTTTGGTGTATACTTGCACATATGTTTCTTAGTAAATCACAATAATAACCCTAATTCCATGAGGAGGACCTAAAGCAAATGCAGCCCTTGGGCTGCTACCCACCCATCCACAACTGCTCTATGAGGTTAGCACTTGTTTTCCTCTCCATTTCCATTCAGCCTGTTGTAAATGAATGGGAAGAACAATCTGAAAAAACTGTTACAGAAGTATTTAGAATGTAGCAGCTGCATTAATACCTATTCTTGGGGTCACAGTTGGAAAAATATGCAGTTCTTTCAGCTCTCACAGACATGGTGGGATTGCTGTTAGCAGCCGCAGAGAATTCTGTCACTCAGCTTCATACAATTTGGGCTCCTCATGCAGTCCTCCCTTTTTTCATAGGCACACAGGAAAGGTAGATTTTGTTCTGTTTCTGAAAAGCAGCTTCTATAGCATCCTTGTAGGCATTAGAGACTTTGGTTTGCTGCATAAAATAATGAGTTACACTGTGCCTGCATTAAACAACACAGATATATGTCAGCATTTCCATGTCATCCTTCTGTCACAGTGAATGAATGACAGTACAGCATATGGGCTCATTAGGTAACATCCAACAGGTTAATACCCATGGATGTGTTGGATTTCTTTTATGCTTGTTTAAGTGTTTTTTAGATATTCCAGCAACTGAAACCAGGGGGAAGAAAATTTCACAAAAGCCAAAGTAACTCAAGAGAGCATTTGCAAAAATGAAGTGCTGAATTTAACCATTTCAGTGCAAGTTGAGTCTCAAAGCAGCAAGCAGCAGAAACAGCCTCGTGCAGTTCTCTTTCTCACTGTGATCTGCTCCTAGAAGTTAAGCTGAATAATAAATACACTTCAGAAAATAAAGATCTGTTTGAAGAGAGAGAGCTTCTGGGATCATGGGAATAAAAGACTGAGGGTAACAGCTAAAACCCAGACAGTAACAGTGAGGTGATATACAAATGAGAGTTCAGTAGCCACAGGCCTCTGGATCCCAAGAATTGAGAGTCACAATAAGAACATAAGATACATTCACTTCATTGTACGAGGCAGACATCCCATTCAAAAATGGATGAAGTTGATGCACTGATGATGCACTGCTAGTTAAAGAACACATGCATTCAATGTTCTCCCTGCATCCTCTATTTTATTTATACCAACCCCTTGCCATGACAGTGATGCTCACAACCTCCTTTCCAGAAGTCTCCCCAGGCTTCAGGATCTTGCTCCAGTGACATCCAGTGCCAATGTTTCTCCACTTAAACCAGAAGAATATGTCCTGGCATCCTTGTGAATATCTTCTGCTGTGCCCTGTTCAGTGGATAAACCAGAGGCAGTTACTGACATGTAAAGTTCTCAGTGGTCAGAGCCAACAAAGCTTTGTAGATGGATTTGAGTCTGTGAGTCTGGCTTTGTAAACTTGGGTTGTGTGTACAGGGGAGATGTTTCTTCAGTGCCTTGCAACCACGGTTTGCTAAAACCATCATGAAGCCTGAATTGCCCCATGCCATGCTTGCTCTCCACCCTTGGAAGTGGTCTTGAATTCATCTGATAGAAGGATGTGCTCATCACTTACAAAATAATCATGCACAGCTACCTCTGTGCTTTATGGTGAGGGTGACAGTGCTGGAACACGCTGCCCAGAGAGGTGGTGGAATCTCTTTATATGGAGATCACAGAATCACAGAATTGTAGGGGCTGGAAGGGACCTCCAGAGATCATCGAGTCCAACCCCCTGCCAAAGCAGGTTCCCAACAGCAGGTCGCACAGGTCTGCATCCAGGCAGGTCTTGAACATCTCCAGAGGAGACTCCACCACCTCCCTGGGCAGCCTGTTCCAGTGCTCCGTCACCTCACTGTAAAGAAGTTCTTGTGCACATTTGTGTGGAACTTCCTATGCTGCAGTTTCCAGCCGTTTCCCCTTGTCCTGTCTCCACCTACTGCTGAAAACAGTCCGGCCTCGCCATTCTGCCCCCCACACCTCAGATATTTATAGACTTGGGTCAGGTCCCCTCTCAGCCTTCTTTTCTCAAGGCTGAACAGACCCAGTTCACTCAGTCTTTCCTCATAGCAGAGATGCTCCAGGCCCCTCACCATCTTGGTGGCCCTCCGCTGGACTCTTTCCAAGAGATCCTTGTCTTTTTTGTACTGGGGAGCCCAGAACTGGATGCAGTGCTCCAGATGAGGCCTCACCACGGCAGAGCAGAGGGGAAGGATCACCTCCCTCGACCTGCTGGCCACGCTCTTTTTAATGCACCCCAGGATGCCATTGGCCCTCTTGGCCACAAGGGCACACTGCTGGCTCATGGCAACCTGTCATCCACCAGGACACCCAGGTCCCTCTCCCCAGAGCTCCCCTCCAGCAGCTCATCCCCACCCTGTACTGGTGCATGCAATTATTCCTCCCCAGATGCAAGACTCTACACTTGCTTTTGTTAAACCTCATCTGGTTTTTTTCTGCCCAGCTCTCCAGCCTATCCAGGTCTTGCTGAATGGCAGCACAGCCTTCAGGCGTGTCAGCCAATCCTCCCAACTTCGTACCATCAGCAAACTTGCTGAGGGTGGCCACTATCCCCTCATCAAGGTCATTGATGAAGATGTTGAACAAGACCGGACCCAGCACCAACCCCTGCATCTCTGCTCAGACACAAATAGTTCATTTCTGGGTGGCCCACTGTACTAGTAAGCTCCTGATACACAGCCCAGCTATCTGTACAGATATTCAGCATACTGTCACCAGGTTCCTCATTATAAACATCCACACAGCTCGTAGCTCTGCCCATTGGCTATTCTGACCACCTCCTTCTTCAAACCAGATTATTTCAGGGGAGAGATGGTACACCACTGCTCTCCACTTGCTTGAGTTACCCTTGCTGGACCCATCCATATATGAGGCATCTTCAGAGATCTCCTGTAAGCCTGGTCCTTGCACCTTCAGTGGGTTTATAGGCCACCCTTTCTTTTGTAGGTAGATAGTCAATCAATCTGCTGCCTTTCCTCATGCCTTCAGTAAGTCTGCTGTCAGCATGAGATCATCAATATAGTGGTAGTGTTTGATGTTTTTAGGATTATTTTATTCTGCTAGGTCACGTGCCATTGAGTTAGGACAATATGTAGGCAAGTGCATACTCTTGTGGCAGGATCCTAAAGGTCCACTGCCTGCCTCCCCACATAAGTGCAAATTGATCTTGTAACTCTCCATGGATGAGAGTATTGAAGAACGCATTTGCCAAGTCTAGGACACATTGTTAGGTTTCTAGCCCCCTACTCAATGTATCCACAAAGGAGGCAATATTGGGTACAGCTGCATGAATGGGCAGTGTGATCTTATTCAGTTCTATGCAATCCACTGTCCTCCTCCACATGCTGTCTCACTTTGGTACTGGCCACATGGGGGAATTAGAGGGGCTATGTGCAAGTCTTTTCCAGTTCCTGAACCATTCTAAATATTTCCTCTTGCCCCCCTGGGAATCTACAGTGTTTAGTATTAGTAATCCAGCACAGACTGGGCAAGTGAATAGGCTCATGTTTCACATGGCCTCTTAATATTGCCTGCACCACCTGCATACTAATACATCTCTCTCTCAGTCTGAACTCTCCTATGGTCATCTGGAGAGTCAGACTCCATAATATGTCTGTGCCCATTATACACTCCAGGACTGGGGCAATAGACACCTTACACTCCCAGGGTGGGAGACATACAACCCTCAGAATTAACCATGTACAACATCACCATAGGTTACAAGGATGGTCTGTCCCCCAAACCCACCAGTCACCACCTTACCTCCCTGGAATTTGGTTGGATCACAATAAATAACTGACATTTCTTTGCCTGCATCAACCACTACCATAACTCACTGTATATTCTCTTGGGACCAAAAAATAATCAGTTCTAACACAAGGGCCCCCAGACAGGACTGGAGGCCCTATGTACAGGGGGCTGGCGTCCCCTGCCAAGCAAATAGCTGAGAATTGCCAATTCCTTTTCCTCTGGTGACTCTGGCACAGTGGCCTGGGTCACTTAAGGAAGCTTCTTACTCTTACTAGGAACTAGGAAGTTTCCCAGGTTCCACGTTCTTGTTTGTTTGTTTTTCTCAGTAAGTCTCACCCCTGCTTTTTGGGGGATATTTTGAAACTTCCACTTTGAGGTCCCACAGCATGATTTTTTTTAAGGTAATCCATGTAAGTAAGTATCTGTCTGGCTCATCAAGTGCAATGCTGTAATACTATAATGCGACAGAAAGTACAGTAATGGAGAGCAGCACAATCCTAGGCTGCAGCAAATGAGAACAAGCCCAAATACACCAGCCAGAGATGCTGAAACAAAGAAAGAAAGAACAACTGCTTACCTTTAGAAGGCCTCCAGAAAGCAGAGATCTCAAACAAGGTACCATCACCTCTACTGCCAGCCCTTAAATGAGGTCTGGGAAGGGAAGGATCATGGCTCCACCCTTCTGATCACTCAGCTGCATTGCATTGCATTGCATTGCATTGCATGCACCTGAGATCCCCTGGGCTGGTCCTGCCTTCCCACCAGGTGCTCAATCACTGCTTTGTGCCATGACTTAGCATTGCCACTACAGGCCCCCATATGGAACATTCCTTTTACTTCCCAGTTAAAAGTACTTGTTTAGGATTTTTGCTTTTCCTGGTGACAAAGTGAGTGAAGCTCAATAGCCACATTTACAGAGTGCTCAAATCCCTACCCACAGACTACTTTTGTCATGAAAAGCAAAGTTGTCATGGTGACAGAGCAGCCTGATACCTCACTACAGGGAAGTGCCAGCAGGAGGTGGGAGCAGAGGGGCACATGGGGTCAATGGGTGCAGTCCTGCAGTCACACGACCTTTCACAGCATTATCAGTCCATCTCTCGGATAACTGAGGTAACAGGATGTGCATAAGAAAAGCAGAAACTTCTTTCATTCATTGCTGATGGGAGAAAAGGAGTCATTTGTGGAGTTATTTCAACTGAGGGATATGTGACCAGCATCGAGACGAGAGCCATGACATTCTTCTGACAAGTAATATCGACAGTAATTGGTTTCATCCCTCTTTCAGTGTTTCTGTCGTTAATGAGATTTGTGATCTAATTTTTCATATCTCTGTCAGATCTGTTGAGAATAATTTTTCTAACAAACATTTATGGACATAATATGTGCGCATTCATCGAATACGTCCCTTACAATCCAGCCTTCTCCAGGAAGTATTTCTATTCTGACAGATGAGTTTAATAAAAAACTCTCCGAGCTGAGCTTTCTGAAACATAAGAATTCAATAATAATAAAAACTTAACCTGCCTCAAATCAGAGCCCTCCTTCTAAATAGACAGCGAGCATCCCCACTTTTAGCTCTCATAAACCCACTCCATGTGTGGTGGTGGTACACTCATCGTTCCCATTTTACAAAGGAGGTGAAGGGGCAAAGTGGATTGCAAGGTTTGCCTGACAGCTCTCTCTTAAGATTTATGTACAGCTCCTTGCAGAGCGAGCAGGAGATTGCTCCTGAGCCCAGCATCAGTCCTGCTGGAGCAGCCAGACACAGACTGGTTCCTGGTGCTGTCTGATGGAGAGTGGCCGTTGGGTGGAAGGAGCTGCTCTTTTGGGCCCAGTGTAACTTTCAATCTGGGAAGAAAAGGAATGGCATATTTGATGTTTCAGATGTTCCTCAAGCAGTGCGACCCGCACAGAAGTAAGGTATAAAGAACACACTACAGTTCCTCCCTAACTACAGTTAGGGAGACATAGGGGCAGAATCACAGCTCCCCAGTAGAGCTCAAGAAGCCCTTTCTTAACACTACCACTGTGCAACGGAAGGTATTTGATCCGAAGTATGAAGAATGGTTTAATCAGACAGAGTAACCAAACTGGTGCAGCTGAAGCACTTTCATTCCATCAGAGTCCATTAACAACATAGGCTTTAAATGGAGCTTAAAATAGTTTATGTAAAGAATATAGAAAGAATTAAGAGAGTGACAATCCACCGCCTTTTAGCTCGTGTGCTTCTGCAGCAGAAGGTACAGCAGTGGGAATGGGGGCATTGCTGTGGACTGAGCCCACCACAGGACCTGGCCACCCCAAAGCATACTTTCAAGAACAAATTTCAAGCGTATACTTTATAAACCTACAAACTATCTCTGTGAGCTGTGCATGCTTTACATCCCTTCAATCCCATTGCCTAGTATTAGTGAAAGTGACAAGACGTTAACTGTAAATTAATCGAATTTTTTATGGATGATTAAAATACAGAAACTGTGCAACAGATGTCTCCTTTAAGGTGTAATAACAGAAAAGTGAAAGGGAAATGAATAAACTGTCAGTTTTAGAGATTTTGTATATAGTGCAAATAGACTTCTTCCTTTTAGACATCTCACCAGGAGGAAAGCATTTGTTGCAGTGAGCATGTACTGCTGTCCGAGTGTGACACACAGCATGCAATGACATGGGCAAACTCCTGTCCCAGGCAGGAGCACAGCCTATGGGCTTCCAGGGGGCAGGAGCAGGTGCTGAGTATGGTGAAGTCAGACAACATCCTCCGTCCTTAAAACAGAGGCTGTGGATGCCCCATCCCTGCAGGCATCCAAGGCCAGGCTGGATGTGGCTCTGGGCAGCCTGGTCTGGTGGCTGGCAACCCTGCACACAGCAGGGGGTTGGAACTGGATGAGCATTGTGGTCCTTTGCAACCCAGGCCATTCTGCGATTCTATGAAAATACCTTCCTCTGGTGACATGCCATGATTAGCCTGAGCAGCAGAGGAGTAGTGCGTTTTGCTGTCTTGGTGCTATGCTGTGGGAGAAATAAAGTTGGAAGCAGTGTGGAGCAGCACTGCTCTGATCCTTTGCAGACTCTGGATGAGCAGAACAGGACCTGTGAGGACATTTCTTTTTGTACCCCCACCACACTCAGCTTGCTGTTCTAGAGCTGTCACATCTCACAAGTTGCAGACCTTAATGCTAGGAGAGAGCCCATAGGCACTGCATCCCAGGTGCAGGATCTAGCTCTGCACGTGGCCTTGCTCTGTTGCATCAATGTTTGCAGAGAGCCATCTAGTCTGGTGACCCAGCAGTGATTTGGGCTCCTGAAGCAAAATCTGTCAAAGGAGGGAAGATTGAGGTTGGATGTCAGGGGGAAGCTCTTTCCTATGAGAGTGGTGAGGTGCTGGAACAGCTGCCCAGAGAGGCTGTGATGCCCCATCCATCCCTGGAGGTGTTCAAGGCCAGGTTGGATGGGGCCCTGGGCAGCCTGGGCTGCTATGAAATGTGGAGGCTGGTGGCCCTGCATGCGGCAGGGGGTTGGAACTTCATGATCCTTGAGGTCCCTTCCAACCCAGGCCATTCTATGATTCTATGATCAGTGTAAAGCACAGGAACAGAAGTTATGTGCCACAAAGTGTTCCATACACAACAGTAAAATTTACAGTGATTCTCAGAAAATGTGCTCTGAAGAAGAAACAGTCCTCCAAAAGCCACTAGAAGTTGATGGTATTTCATGTTTTTTTCACAAATTATCAAGTTTGATAATAATAATAGATAGAAAAGTAGGCTTAGAGGTGAAGAAGCTTGAGCTGAAGCTGAAATCACAGAGAACCAAGTGCTGAAGCACCTCCCAAACCCCACTGTTACTCCCCAGGATGGGATGTGATGTAACTGCACAGAGCACTCCTGTGCCCTGCAGCACTGAACCGTGGGTTGTGAGCAATTTACAGCAAATCATTTGTGGGATTTTTTCAGCATATTTCTCAGGTCCGTGCGCCGCAGTGTCGTTACTGATAGTTGGCAGCGCTGCTGGCAGCGTACAATGTGCATGTTCCCGATAAGAGTGCCCAGCTCTTTGTTGCTCTGACCATAAAAAGGCCGATTTATGAGTCACAAGAAAGCGTTTATATTTTGCCTCCCGAATTCGCTGCTAAGAATCTCAAAGCTTTGCTTTGCTGGTGGCAATAAAGAGGAATTAGGTAGATGCAACGAGCAGCAGGAGATAAACACCGTAGGCAGAAAATTACAGCGTGAGTTATGCTAGTTACACCCATTTTTCACCAGTTTTCACAGCAACAATGATAAGAAATTGATGTCCAAATAGTGTAACACCTTCTTTTACTTACATTAAGATGAAGGGGAGTTGCTTCAGCTCTGCATTGAGATACTTTGTGGGATGTGATGCAGTCGGTGAATCATAGAATCATGGACTGGCTTGGGTTGGAAGGAACCTCAAGGATCATCAAGGTGAAAAAAGCCCTTCCAGTTGGGAGGACACATTCAGGCTGATGGTCAAAAGTGACATCTGTGAAGACAGAAGCGCTCCTTAGCTGAGCTGTGCACACAAATCAGGACTGTTAAGACTTACAGGCTCCTCTCCCATGAGTCCAGAACCCAGAGGCCACGGTCAGGACCCTGTGGCAGCACCCGGGCAGCTGTGGGACCCATGGGAACACTGAAGATTTGCCATTTGCTGAGCAGTTTTCAAATTCCTCTTTGTCTTCAATTGGTAAATGGTCTCCAAAAATCTGTTTCTCAGTTTTTCTTGCTTGTCATTTGAAATCTTATTTAGTTTGACAACGGAAATGAAGCAAAGATATGCAGAAGAGGACCTCAGGTGTGATGGGAAGCACTGAGCACTGCCCAGACCTCTACACTACTACTGAGCAGGTCATTGGAATTACCATACAGAGCTCAGGGGTGGTGACCCTGCCTGAGCTTTCTGAGAATCTCTGCACGGAGAGGCTGGGAAGGGCCAAAAGAGCAGAAACAGAATGAAATCTTAATGACCTGAGGGCAAAGCCCTGCAATGGGCAGGGGCTGAAATTAGTCAGCATGCTGGAGGGAGGGTGCTCATGGAGGAGAGAAGGTCAGGGAGGGGGAAAGCAGGATGGGACGGTGACCCAGGGCAGAGATCAGAAGGGTGCTATAATCAGGAGTTCTGTATCCAGGCCCTTGTTTGCCTTCTGCTCCTCCAGAAGCACGCAGTGCTTTATCAGGTGTTGAACAAGACGTCAGTTTGTGGCATGGAACGAGATGCTGAGTTGTGCCCTCACTGCCCAGAGATGGCAGCTCCTAACGAGGCAGCCGTCATTAGAAGGGAGCCAGAACACTGCAGGAGCTCACCCTGACATGGGCACTGTGCTGGCCCTGAGCAGATGGCAGAAACGTCATCTGGTGATGTGTTGCCCAGGACCAGATCCAACACGTAGCATGACAGGATGTGGGCAAAGGCAGTTCTGGTGTCAGAGGCAGTAAAAGGAGCATTGTAAAGGCCATAAATTTCTCTGTGGGTTTTTATGCACAGATTGAGTCAAATAAAGTTAAGGAAAGTCAATTGGCTCTTATGAGAACAATAATGAGCCTGAGATAGAAATGACTGTCCTGCATATGGGCACTATAGGCAAAACCTCACCCAGCAACCTGACCCTGCATTGGTCACATTGCCAGCAGGACGCTGGTCCCAGAAGCCAGCCAGCTCCTGGTGACCTCACAGCTCTTTTTGTTGGTTTTTATAGCAGCATTTAAAGAATTTTCAAAGCAAACTTCAGCAGCATATAATAGGAACCGAGGTGTAAAAGCCTGCTGTGTAAGCATTACATCTGATGGCTGGGTGGTTTGGTGCCATCAGGAGTGACTCCATCTTCAACTCCAAGGGGCCATGCAAATTTCTTGGTGTGGCTTCAGCTGCTATCAGTAATTTTCCCTGCCCCACTGCTTTGTGTACCAGAGCAGGACCACAAACACCCACAGTGTTTGCAGCAAGGCAATATCCTTCATGTACATGGCAGCACCATCGTATTTCAGTTACAATTTCTGTTCCAAGCCTTTAAACACCAGGACATTCAGCTTGTCTTTCTTTGCAAGCCGCTGCCTACTCAGCAGATACTTTTATTAACTCTCCACAGTGATGCCCATGTCTTTGTCATGAGTAAAGCTAATTTAGAGCTCACCAGTGAGTTACACTTCACATTACTCCTTTTAATGTGCACCGCTTTGCATGTCAGCAGAGCACTCCATCTGCTGCACTGCTGCCATTCCTCCCACCCCTATGGGAAGTTTCCTTCAGCCTTCCCCTCACTCCAACCACCCGAGTAGCACACCATGGGCACGCTGTGATTCGTTAAGCATGAAGAATTCATTAAGCATCACAGATCTGGGCTCGCACCCTAGCAGGCTCTGCTGAGCTGCCAGGCTGCTGCTTGCTCTGTGTCAGCTTTGTACACACAGATAAAGCACCACACCTGCTGCCCAGAGCTATTCAGTTCCTCACCATCCTCCTGGTACTTGTGAGTTGTCTCACTTCAAGGCTAGAACAGAACACATGGATTTCCTCAGTGTTTCCTCTCATGGATTACAAATGGAAAGAAAGGGAGCTGTTCCCATCCAAAGTCTGATTGCTGAAAAAAGTTGTTCCAATTCCCCCTCTCATTTGCCTTGCACAGACCCAATCAGAACCCAACAGGAGCTGCACTGAGCCATGCGCTGGGTGTGCTGCAGCCCTGGGGTGGTCCTGGGCATCATTCTGATGGTGCCCACATCTGGAGGCTGGCAGGGCCCAGGGCATCAGGCAGCTGCGTTTTCTGGGGGGAAAGAGAGTTTCAAGAAAGTGTTTCCCCAGAGAAGACAGAAGCAAAGCTCAGCAGCCTGTCTGGGATGAAGTTTTATCTCATGTTTTAGGAGCTGAAAACAAAAGTTAGAATGGCTGGCTGCACACACACCTCTTTGCATGGCAGATCCTTTCATGCACTGCTTTAGATCAGAAGCTTCAAGTGCATCCTGCAGGTATAGTTTATGTGTTTGGTTACTCAGAGATTAGAAATAATGGGATTCCTACAATTACAAAACTAAAAGACATATGCTATGTTGATGAAAGCTCTGTCCATACTACTGCAACTCCTGATAACTAAATATGCCCTTCCATCAAGCTGGGAAAGACACAAAGCCCAGATTTACAGGCAGCAGAGGGAATCTAAAATTAGACTCCCACTACAAGCAGCGTTAGTTAGGGAGAGCAGAATTTATTCTGTCCACTTGTAAAGTCCCTAATATTCCCAGGGAGAGATTTCCTCCTGCAATAAGTTAAGAAGATGTATCAGGTTTTGAACCTTCCAGGCTATTTGGGGCAAGGTGCTCTTCCAGGGAACAGCACACATTTCAACATGAGAAATTTGGCCATCACTGGAGTTTTTCACATTGTGCAAATGCAGGTGACCTCCACATGCAATTCTGAATCTCAGCCAAGCATCACCACCATTTCCCTTCAAATCACAGAATAATAGAACCCGTTTTCAGTTCCTTAAGGCATTAACTTGCTTTGTGTAACTGGTTGATTAGAATCATAGGCTCCTAGAATGACTGGTGTTGAAAGTGGTCTCAAACATCCCCCAGTTGCACCCCCTGCCATGGGCTGGCTGACCCCAGCAGGTCACTTTGCCCAGGGCCCCATCCAACCCGGCCACTCAGACAAGCAGTTCTAATGGGATAAAAATGTGTGCTGTCCCAGTGCTACCTCAAAAACAGCTATATAACCAAAGCCATCTGATTTTATGGAGTTTTCTATTCTAAGCTAATACTCTGGCAGGCTGAGGCTTTACTTCTTATAAATGAGGTAAACAGGAAATCTGAAGAGAGGAGAGAAATGTGGCCACTGCAAATCGGGCTTTTAATTAATGCATTTTTTACCTGAGCTTCATCTACTTTTCCCCACTATTTCCTCCTCTACAAGCACAGCCCAGTGTGACAGGAAATTAATTAGGCTTGGAACTCTCATCAGCTAAACAAAGGAATCATTAATTTTGGTACTTAAGGAACCGAAATCCCAACTTGCAGCTAACTAACACAGGGGAGGTTGAGGTTGGATATTAAGAGGAAGTTTTTTCCCCAGAGGGTGGTGAGGCACTGGCACGGGTTGCCCAAAGAGGCTGTGGATGCCCCATCCCTGCAGGCATTCAAGGCCAGGCTGGATGTGGCTCTGGGCAGCCTGGGCTGCTGGTTGGTGACCTGCACACAGCAGGGCTTGGAACTGGATGAGCACTGTGCTCCTTTTCAATCCAGGCCATTCCATGGTTCTACAACTCTATGATTAACCCACTCTGCACGGAGATTTGGAGTGAACCCCCTTAGGATACCAGGCTGCAGTGGGTGGCCTGTGTTCTGATCTCCTGCACTTCTGGGACTCTGCTCTGCAGGCAATGTGTGCTTAGCCCTGCATGGTGCTGCCCAGCTCCCACCAGAGGGACTTCATTCCCTGCCACTCAGAAGTTTGTGTCTGGAACATGAGGGCAAGGCTGAGCATCTGCTTTTGGCTGATGCCACGGATCTTTCTGTCTCACTTTAAGGACACTTCCAACCCAACCATTTTGTGATTCTATGTTTCTAGCCAATGCCATAACCTTAAAAAACACAGTACGAGTGCTCAGAACTCACACTCAATATTTATCTTTTCAAAGCAAACACTATTTCTCACATGACTGTATATACAAGAACGGAATGCAAAATACATATGTGAATCTAATGCTGATGCTCCTTTTTTCAAAAGTACTCATCCCTCCTACTAGGGCATTGCCTGCCCTGTTGGACAAGTCTCCCCTTTGCTCAGTGCCAAGCCCCCCCAGTGCTCCCCTTTCTCCCTGGGCTAAGCAGACTGGTGCTCATAAGCGAGGTTCCTGGGCAGCACATACCTCTGTTGACTTCAATAAATGTCATAGGAAGTACTGGAAGCTGACCTGGGGATGGCTCCTTCTGCCTGTAGGGAGAGAATGAATAAATGAGAAACAGCCATAGCTTGCTTCCAAGGGTAAATAGTCAAAGTGTGAGATACAAATTGCTTGTGCATTATTGCTGTTCCCTCAGTTGCCTTGTGGTGCTCAGGTATTTTACCTCATTAGGGGTCCTTCAGGGAAGGGAGGGCTCAGCTGAGCTGGAGGGCAGATGGGACCAACTTCCAAACCAGGTCCAACAGCACTTAAAGGGTCTGTTAATGAACCAGGGTGAGCTCATCTGTGCAGTTCTAGGTGCGAGTGGATGCCAGAGCTTGCCTCACTGTGCCTTTTAAACACTCAGGTTTTTAGCGTGCCCTCAATACTTTCAGATATACATGACCCTTGAATCTGCAGACTGCAAAGTATTTGCCCACTGGAGGAATCTTTTCCCAATAAAAAGCATCTTGTGAGTCTTTGATGGCTGAGTCCGAGAAGATGAAAACTTGTAGCTCATCACAGCCACTGCTAAAAACCATGTTCAGTAATTAAGTAGCTAATTGCCTCTGATAAAGGAGAAGAAAAAAATCTAATTCTTTTCATTTCTACCACCAACATTTTCCAGAAATATTTCTCCATAAAGAATAAAAAAAGTAAGTTTAAAAAATGCATTACACACAGGACTTGCTCTCTATTAGCTCAGACTTCACAGCAAACAGACTGAATTCTTCAGGGATTAAACATCAGCTTAACTATAAATCCAGCATGACGACAACAGGCTCCTTGGCCAGAGGTACAAAAGAGGCTTTGCTCTATGCAATAAATCTCATGTCCTCCTCTTCTACTCAGGCTAAAAGAGGAGGAAAGGCTCAAGTGAGGCTGCACTGAGCTCACCAAAGTGGAAAAGCTTTGGTTCTTGCTTCAAGAGGAACGATGTACAAAAGAAAGAACCTTGCAGAGCTTTTCCATGCTCAGCTCAATAATACATATTTAGAAAATATTGATACGTGCACAGAGAATAAATTATTTATCCGCTCCCCTCCTGCTGTTATTTCAGTTATTCTGCAAAGGTTTCTATCAATACATCAATTCTGGCGAAAGTATCTTTTAATTCTGTTTATTTCATTTGGATTTTAATCCAATTCTCATCTACCATTTCTATATGAAAACATTAAATAACAGTGACCACATTTTGGAAGCGTATGCAAAACTGCTCATGCAGAAATCCTAAATTTCATGCCCTTCCAATGACTGGAGAGAAGAATTACAGCCACTCCATGCCATGCTGCACCCACACAGGTGGAAGTGGCACACAGAATGGAGGAAAACTGCATTCTTTCAAGGTATGTTGAGAACAGAGGAATGAAAAATAACCAGCTATCGAACTGACATTGAACGACTCATACCACCTTATTTTCTCAGCTGGATTATTTAATCCCTCCTTAAACATGACACCTCAAGCTGTAGCTGGCCCAACATCTTTCAATGTTAGATTTGTATTTCTCCACCTTGAAACTCTCCCCACATTACGCTGTGGCTTTCAGGACGGTTCTGCCCCAGCAAAACCACACAGCCCAGGACGGAAATTCTCCATCCCTCCCATCAATCCCCTTTGCCATCCTCTGGCTGTTACTCCTAACAAATGTATTTTGATATTAATGCACAGTCATATAGAACAGATTAAATTTTAAAGTCAACAAAAGTGCAGAAGTTTGACCTGTGTTACATTGGTGTTTTTATTTCTAGAATGGATTTCTTTTAGCCTTCAAATGCAAATTGAGTTCCATAGAGAGGCTTCTGATGGGATTTTCGTTACCTGGCACAGTAAATTGGTTAAATTTGATGCTATAAATGTTCAAATCCAGTAAAAAAATGGATGTGCTCCTCATGGTTTCAATACCATGTGCACCACAGGGGGGACCTCATGAGACCCTTCATCCACTCCCAGCCATGGCAAGGCACATTGTGATGTAGAAAGTAAAGGCATGGGGTATCTGATGCTGGAAAATGAGAAACCTGTTTGCTGCAAGAGCAAAAAACGATTTGGGCTGGCAGCAAAATGCCAAGGCAGGGATGTGCTTGACATAGCACTTAAGGCTGAGCACAGGCTGCACGGGGCAGACGCTAAATGCCAACGATAGCTGTTGATAGATAAAGAAATCCATTACCAAAGGGAGAGGAGGTGAGCCTTGAAAGTACAAATCAATCATCATGTGTTTCAACTCCTTCATCTTTTCTCCAACAGCAGGAAATGAATGACTTGTTTGAAGTAGACAATGGCAGCGTAATTTCTTTCGCTATATATAGTGGCATCATGAATATGCATCTTTGGAGATTAAAGAAAGCCTTTTTCAGACTATGACATGCAGAGCTCCGAATTTGATTATTTAAATCACAGTAAATTATCAGTGCAATTATCACACAGACAAAACAAGTAGATTATTATTCCATGTAGTTCTCTTTGAAATGAATAGGGGAGAAACAAAAGAAAAGGGAAAAGCATCCTAACCTTCAAAACGAGCTTCAATCCATCTCTTCTTCTTTTTCTGCATTCATCTCTTTCCTGCAAGGCGATGAGTCTTTTGTCTCCCGGTACCCCATCCTTTATCTTCTTTCATAAACTTCTCCAGGGTTGGGTCAGGTTGGCTATCAGTTTTCTTGCATTTATGAACTAAAGGTGCTCATTTACAGTAACAGAAACCAGCTTTCCATGCCCAGGTGCTTGCTGTTGGCACCCATGTCCCTCTGCACAGCAGACATCCGCTGCTGATGGCCACAGTGATGGCTGCAGAAGCCACATTCCTAATGTAGCCACCATGGAACTGCAGCTGCTCGCTGGGACTGTCAGTGTGCCAGGAAAATGCACAGCGGTGCGAGGTTACTGCTGAGGTGAGTCCACAAGGACAGTGCACAATAACTGCATCCTTCACAGTGCTGGTCCATGAAGACCCCCAGGTGGTTCTGCACCCCACTCTTCTTCCCCTTCATCTTCATAGGAGGTGCTGGCCTCGCCTTGTGCCAGGGAGGGTCAGGTTGGACATCAGAGCAATGTCTGCTCCATTGAGCAGCCAGGCACTGGCACAGCTGCCCAGGGGTGGGCAGTCCCCGTCCATGGAGAAGCAAACAGCCATGCTGCCCGTGGTACCAGTAGGACAGAAATGCTGCTACTGCCCAGGAGAAAGGGAAGGAGGTGCTGAGGCTGTGGATCCCAGAGGGGAAGAGCTCAGAAGGGTGAATACAACAGCCACTAATAGCTCAACATATATATATTATTGAGCCTGTTCCTTTTTATGTACACTGATATTGTGACTAATGGTCACACCGCTGCTACCTGGTGGTCTGTGCAAGTGATGGGTACACAGGGCTGCACAAAACCAGGGCAGAATGAACCCTTCTGAATTCTCCCAAAGCTCCCCCCACCCCGTGCCACAAGCAGAGCCATAGCAATGGGCAGCTGCAGCCTGTTGCAAGAGCTGCCTCCATTGCATTGCATGTGCCATGGCCTCAAACTCTTTTAAGCTGCTACCGTTATTAAAATTTCTATTAACTTTTCTTTACATGAAAGCAATTATAAGTGAACTTATTCCTTTCATTTGCCTAAAGCAAAGAAGAAAACATCACGAAAAAAAACCCAAAACATCAAGCTGCCAAACAGCAGCAACAGCTTTCTTTCTTCCCACTAAAAAAAGAAAAAGAACAGAAGAAACGAACAATATGAGATATGGCAAGCTCATTAACAAGTTCGTTAGCAAATTCACTGATTAAATTCCATAGTGTGCATTCAATAGAGATCAAGCAGCACCGGTGGAAGCAGGTCCTTGCAGCTCAGTACAACACAGGGCTGTGTGCCTTGGCAGCAGGGCAGGACGTAGCTGTTCCTTTGTCCCCACTGCATGTGCCGTGCCTGCAGCAGGCAGAGCATTTACATCCCAGTGCTGGGACACGGTGGTCACAATGCCACACATGTAGATGCTCAGTGCCACACATCTAGAGGCTCCCATGGGGGTGCATAGCAGCACTGCTGTCCTAGCAAAGGTCTGGAAGATGGGTCTGGAGACGTCTATCCTGTCTGCTCATTCTTGAGTTCTCCACATGGGTGCACATATGCAGATGGGCTTTAGGGAGTTTAATGTCTTGCACCTTGGATTATTTACCTTTATTTCCAATGACAAAGAGAACAGCTGGCAGCCCTGTCCAAAACACAAAACCCAAACCCCAGCAGCAGCTTCGTATGAGGGCTGCTGCTGCTTCCTGTGCACTGGTGACTCCAGCAGCTTCTCATACAGAATAGGCTGCTCATATTGGAGAAACAGGCTGACTTAGGTGAGACTGTGGCTCTGTGATTGCATGACTCTACGGTGATGTTGGTTAAAAAAAAGGACAGGCTTGGACATGCTTACCTTCTCTTCCACATCCTCCACAAATTAGAACTAGTCCTCAGTGTGAGGTTTTGCCAGTGCTCCTGGAGAAGCTGGAAAGAGCAAATGTGTTAAATTGCTCATTTCAAGTGTACTGCAGTGGTTTAAGATATGTTAAAACCGAAAAGTTCAGGTCACCCACCCGAGCAGTTAGAGTCACCTCCATTTAAATGTCTGCTTAAATCTTCTTCTGCTTTAATGCTCCATAATGTGTTGCTGCAAGCAATCATATATATTGCTACAGCATCATATATAATAATATTAATCTGCAGAACATTAAATATTAAATTAAATTTTATCTTTAAAAGACCATAGATCTAGAATAATTGCAGCTCTACAATCCAATGAGTATTTGCAGAGCTTCCCAAGCAGAACACTTCCCAGGTGATTCTCAGCACATCCCCCATGCTGGCTGTGACCTAGGGGTGCAATTATGTCTGTCTAACAGATGGGAGAAGTGGCAGCAGTGCTCAGTTTGTCCTCTGGGCAATGGCTGTGGCCCCATGGCAGCACTCACCAGCAGGGATTCCCCCATGGCCATGCTGGGCAGACAGATACACACACACTTGTGTGAAACTAGATGATCATCATGGTCCTTTTCAACCCAGGCCATTCTATGACTTTCTGTCCCTCACGGGAATAGGGCAGAAAACAGAAAATGCTGATACTAAATCAGCTAGGAGCGTGAATGATGGCATTTTCTGCACACACTTTGCAGTACTGCCAGATAACAACGTGCTTTCCAGAAGATGCCTTGAGATGAACTGCTCGTGGTTACTGCGAGCGTTCTCCTCTTCATTCAGGGAATGACTTGGAACATATTTGAGGTTGAGTTCCTCTAGCAATTTCAGCTCTAACAGTTTTAACCAGTGAACCGTGCACTGTAAATAAGATGGGGGGAAAGAAGCTTTGCTCAAAATGGTAATTTCTGGGCTTTCCCAGGCTGAGGCTCCAGCAGCAATAAGCATACATGCACTGTATCAGCAGCCACACACCACAGCTCTCTGCTCTGTGAAGCTCTGTTATTTACAGCACACGCAGCACTGGCAGTTGTTAAACTCACAAACCAACTCAATGACCCAAAAAACTGGGAAAGGCATGAGCCGGAACAAAAGGATGAAAGGAGTGCATGCCATGTTATCACAGGCAGCAGGATCCAAATTGCAAACACTGTTTCTACCCCAATGAATGGCATCGTGGCCCCGATGGCCGTGCAGCTCCCAGGTGGGTCTGGCCATGGGGATGGCGTTGCATGCAGTGCCGAGCATCAGCAGCAGAAGGGATGTGGGTGACTCCACAGTGCTTTCTTTCCCTTGTTTCTCAATATAGGGTCTGAGGCCAGGCTGGATGTGACTCTAGGCAGCCTGGTCTGGTGTTTGGTGACCCTGCACATAGCAGGGGGGTTGAAACTAGATGAGCCACTGGACTGTGGTCCTTTTCAACCCAGGCCATTCTATCATTCTATGATTCTTCCATCCATGTACAGGGGTTCAGTTAGAAGATAAAATACCAGGTTGAATTAAACCAAGGAAAACTGTTAATTTAATTTAGAAGTTGTGTTTCCACTCTCTCTTAAAATGCCTGTTTTTCCAACCTCTGAATATTTCCTTAGGTAATACCAGTGTACATAACAATATACCATAATGGTTCCCAGTGCTGCTAGAAGAGGATGCTTGTATATTGAGAGATATTTCAGTTCACTGAGTAGAATATCAGAGGCTATAGAGCTTTGATCGGAGAAGGAGCGATAAAGATATATTAAGTTTTTCACAAGTAAATGATAAAACTGTAGCAAATGAATGCTTCTGGTGCCAGGTTGTCACTTCCTTATTCTCTTTTCTGCTCATATTCATTCATCAGGAAGCACACATTTGTGAAAGGACTGCAGTGTCAGCCCCTTCTGTCTGCAAAGGGTCAGCATGGTATCTGTGGGGTACAGCCTTCCTTTCCCATCAGAGAAATGGAACACTTCTACATGCAATTTATTCTCTGTTTCCCAAATGCTGGGAACCACAGACTCATAGAATGGCCTGGATTGAAAAGGACCTCAATGACCACCTGGTTCCAATCCCCTACTATGTGCAGGGTCACCAACCAGCAGCCTAGGCTGCCCAGAGCCACTTCCAGCCTGGTCTTGAATGCCTGCAGGGATGGGGCATCCACAGCCTCCTTGGGCAACCTGTTCCAATGGTTGTTTCTATCTCTAATTTCTGTTAATGCTTCTTTCACTGCTTTAGAGACCCAGGAAAACCTGTGGAGACAGACGTGAGCAGTTCCCTGCATTGAGGGAAGATGGGAACAAAAGGAAAGCGATGAGTGGGGCTGAGACAGGAGAGGCAGTGCTGGAGTTCTCTGGCAACAGGAAAGACAAGGCAAGCTCCAGCCAAAAAGCAAAGCATTTCTGCCAATCTCTGCTTAGTACCACACTCACTGAGCACATGAGCACTGACTAAAAGATGACAAGCTAAAAGATAAACAACAAAAGTAATGATACTGTCTGCCTTTCTCCAACGAGAACCATTACAGAAGGCGGTGTACAGTGATTGCAAATTAGATCATTTGTGCATCCATTTATATTCCTAATGTGCTTACAACTTCAATACTCAATAAATAATAATGAAGCTGCTTTTAAATCAGATTTTTTTGCTGCCCTGGTGGGTTGTGGCTATCTGGTCACGTAGCAGAGCACTAATATTACGCCTTACACAGACTGACTTGTAATTTACATAATATTAAGGTGCATAGCTTGGTGTGAGCTCTTCAGGTCAGGAGCTGAGCTGGGCCCTTCGTGCCCTGCCCCACCAGCAGCCCCCAGCTGCCCCTCCTGCAGTCAGATGGCTGCATTATGGGCTGTGCAGAGGAATCAACACACCGTAAAGACAGCTCGTTTACCGAGGCAAAGAAATGCAGAAAAGGTCAGAAGTCTTGGTAGTGAAACATTAGATAAGACTATGAAAATGAACTGAATTATCAAGGGAAAGAAGAAAAGAAACAGAAGAATATGGAAATTAGAAGCTCTGACCTTTAGAAGATGTGCAGTTTGCAATGCCAAAATAAAGCCACGTGGGAGGATCCGGCCTCCAACTTCAGCACGATTAAATATTTTGCCAGTGCACGGCTTATTGTGACTTGCTGGCGTAAATTCAGTCTTTGTTTGCCTTTTTGTTCGTTGACTGCAGCATGCATGATATTAGAATGAGGCTCAAGACTGAAAAATAGGAATAAAAAGACAGATTCGGATATGAGCTTCGTGTCCCACGGACTGCTCATCGCTGGAGGCAAACAGCATAGAAAGAAATCCTCAAGGTCGGTAACAAATCAGCACGTCACGCTTAAACTGCACGTTAATAAGTTATGCAGAAAAGTCTGCAGTTCTGTCAAAACAGAAAATAAATCAAATTTGTAAGGCTGTTTGCATCAAGTTAGAAACTAGGTGATCAACAGGCTTTCAGCAGTGCACCAAACAGACATCGTCTTAGCTGATACAACCTATAGGAGTGGTATAACTGTACCTCTGCCTCATGGCTTTTTGTGGTGGTGGGCAAGGTGGGTGTCCATCAGTGCTGCAGGAACTCTTCCTTTGGTGGATCCATCTCAGTTGCATTCAGTGGACTGCAGTTGGCCCCAGTGTCTGCTCCAGCCCAGCTCTGCACGGGGGCAGAAGGATCCAGCAGGCAAGATAGTGCTGTTCAGAGGAGATCATTGCCTTTCCAATGTCAGTCAGAAGGTGCGAGACCAGTTCACGTGCTTCACATGGAAGCAACAAAACAATTTATCTCACTTTGGAGAGGAGTGCCTTTATGCAAGCAAATAATGTAGTGGTACACAGAAGACAGCACCTGAAACACCCAATGCCTTCTATTGTTCCAACAAAGACTCCTCTGAGTTTAGTGGATGACCTAAGGTTAAGGTTAGAGGAGATACTCAAATTTTACAAATTCTGCCACCAGAAAGGAAAGGTTTTTATGAGTTACCAGGAGCACCGATCTTTTCCCTTGTCTAACACGTATTCAAAGACGTCAAGGAGTTAAGAAAACGTTTGATCTCTTTCTCTTTTTTTGTAGAATTCTGAGCATTCATAATTGAAAACAATTTTTTCTGTGTTCAACTGTCAGAAGAATGTTGCCTGTTAATTCCAAGCAATGATGCAGGCACCAGGAGGGCTGGGCAGGAGCAGAAACAGAGCAGTGGGTTCATAAGGTTCTGAGTAGAGGAACTGCCAGGCTCCGTGTAAATGGGGGTGGGATTTTGTTACTTGATAGATCAGATAGATAGAAAAATGAACAGGGAAGGAAAGACAGAATTGGAAAGAATTCAAGGCAAAGAAGGGTGATGAATGAGTCTTGCTCACCATGCACCATACTGTAAGAACACTAAGGGGTGGCAGAGGATGTCAGCACTTCTTGTCCAGCATCCTGCTGAATGTAGATGACCTTAAATGAACAAGTACCACTGCATAGACAAGTACAGAAAATACATGGGGCTACCCATACAAATTCCTTGCTGTGGTTTGCTGTGCACTTTTGGCCTTAGTTCCCATCAAGATAACCTGCCTGCAGGTGTCAGCTGTCCCCTTGTGGGTGAGGCAGGGCAGGCAGCACCCTGCTGGGCCAACAAAAATGGAAATGAACCCGAACTCAAGAATTCAAGTGAGTTCAGCAGCAATAGTACAAACCAGCAACAAGGATGTGCCACAGTGGCACAACCCATGGAATAGGAGATTACCCTGAGAAAAAGCAACAGCTAGGACCAGTATTGAAAAGGTTAAGTGTAATACTTGTAGCATGAGAGCATGGAATTATTAAAATAAGGATGATAATTATACGTAATTATAATTATAAAATAATTAGTATTATAAAAATATTAATTAGAATTTTTACATGCTGAGTTGTCCTCAGTTTTCTCTACAATTAACACTGTATAATAATTACATTATTGTTAGAGAAAAATAAAGAGCTGTTTGATCTTGTCCCAAGTGTGTGCATGTGGGGAGAGAAGGAGAGAGGGAAAGAAAGCTGTTTTGAAGTATAAAACTATCATTTTTTTGGAATGTGAATATAAATGAGGCAAATTTGTGCCTTGATCTGTTTGTTGAGCAGGAGGTAATTTTCATGTAAGATACAAAATTTTTATTTGCTCATGGCTATAGATGGAAGCATTAAACAGGAAAACATGTGCTTCCTTCCCCACCATGAAGGCTGTGTTCCCATCGCCCACCTCCATTTAATCTTCACCAGGAAAATCTGAGTCAATATCGAACACCATTCAATCATTGCCAAGCTAACTGTGGGTTTATTGGCCTTGTCCAAGGTAAACAAGTGAGCACAAAGCCCTTTCAGCAGGACATTGGACCTGGCCATGCATGAATGCAAGAAAAGAGGATTTCCAACATCACCGTGCTCAGTAAGCACCCTAAAACCAAGCTCACCTTTCCCTGGGAAGAGTAGAGCCACATCCAGAGGAGATCAGAAGTGGGATGTCCCAAAGCACCACATCCTAGTCATGTCCATGTCCCTATCCCTATCCCTATCCCTATCCCTATCCCTATCCCTATCCCTATCCCTATCCCTATCCCTATCCCTATCCCTATCCCTATCCCTATCTCTATCCCTATCCCTATCCCTATCCCTATCCCTATCCCCGTCCCTGTCCCCATCCCTGTCCCTGTCCCCATCCCTATCCCTATCCCTATCCCTATCCCTATCCCTATCCCTATCCCTATCCCTATCCCTATCCCTATCCCTATCCCTATCCCTATCCCCATCCCTATCCCTATCCCTATCCCTGTCCCCATCCCTATCCCTGTCCCTGTCCCTGTCCCTATCTGTAGCCCTATCACTATCACTATCCTTACCCCTATCCTTATCTCTGTCCATATCCCTGTCTCTGTTTCTATCCCTATTTCTATCCCTATACCTATCAGTGCTGCTGACCCTGACCCTGTCCCTGATCCCCACCCCAGCAAAACCATGTGATGCCGCAGGACAGTGGTTTGTAACGTGAAAAAAAGTAGCAAAAAAAGAAAATTTCCTGATTTCCTTCCTGGGCTGCACAAAATCAATCATGGTGGTAACAAAAAGGTGCAAAGCACTATGCTGCCTCAGTTACCCAATTCTCTAGAAAAAAAAGCTGCTCTAGAAATCCCCCAGCAGCTCTGTAATCGTGATGGATGGCGGCGAGCTCAGTGAGTAATCCCTGCACAAGGTGCTGAAGCCCTTCAGCTAATGCCAGTGTCCATGCCTGACTAGTTCATTTCTTTCCTCTCTCTTCCTCTCTCTCTCTCTCTTTTTTTGAAACTACAAATCAATTGTTGGTTATTTATTTGTTATTTCATATTTATACAAGAAAGAAATATTTCTCCCCTAAAGCAAATCAAGGATAGAATAACAACCCCGGAAAGGTCAGCATCTATCCGGTTTGTTAATTGAATCTGTCTTCAGAGCCACAATGCCAATACTTCAAGGGCGAGAAAGGGCAGGGATATAATAATAATAGGAGTAAATGTCTTTGTACCAACTGGAATTGATAGCGGATAGGCTCAAGACAAGTGCAGTCTGAGCTTCAAATCTTCTCTCAAGAAGCCATCTAGTCCTTGGAAATTTTGTCATTTTTCTCAAGGCAAATGGTTCCACACGGCTGTAATCCTCTATGGCTTGTCCCAGGGGTGTGAATTACTGCTAATGCCTCTGTTATTTACAGCCTGCTCAACTCCTAACAAAAAGATCCTCCAGGAGTTTCACATAGTTTACTGAAATTGGTTTGTTCTGTTTTCGTGTGCATGAAGTACCTGGTATTGCTGGGTGGACTGAGCTGCCTCAGTAGCTCTGGAGGAAGACAGGGTGAAAAAGCACCTGGAAACATCCTCTTGGTGATGGGTCCTGCACAGCTCCAAGCTGCTGCATCCTTGGGCTGAGGAACACTTACACAGCACCTCTGGGCTTCGCAGGATTCCCAGCACCTACTGTCAGTCAGCATTGCTGTGAGATTTGCAACTGGCACGAGTCCCTGAAGACAGGAGGCTGCGGGGCTCAGCAGGATGCACTTCTCTTCACAGGATCGTAGAATCACAGAACCATTCAGGCTGGAAAAGACCCTGAAAGCCCCAAAACCACCCAGCCTACAGTCCCACAGCCCACGTCCCTCAGTGCCACATCCCTGCAGCTCTGAACGCCTCCATGGATGGGGACTGCCCACCCCTGGGCAGCTGTGCCAGCGCCGCTCTCTGGAGCAAGCTGTGATACCCAATCTGAATTTGATGCATCTCCTGTGCTTCGTCCTCCTTCCTTCTGGCCTATTTTTGCTGAGAAAGAACTCGGTGACAGGTCTTTGAAAATGAGAACAGTTACTTAACTTGGAAATTAGCAGTCTTGGGTTCATGGTGGAGTAGCTGTGCTTCACAGTAAGTCTCTCATTCTAACAAACTTTGACTAAAGTCAATGCAAGTTATTTGGGGATGTTGTTGACAAAAGAATTTGATTATTTGGGTGCTAACAAGGGATTTTTTCATGTTAATTTATTTGGACAAGTCATTACTGTAAGGGACTCAGAACTGCAAACATCTCGTAAATTATCAGAGCCAGTTAAATGAAATCCATTGGCAGAAAGATGTTGCTCTTGTTTATAACTTGTTGAAGGACATCTACCGGATTAAGTTAATTCTGGTCCAACAAATAAACTAATCCTGTAAAGAGAGGGGAGGAGAGGGGGAAATCCTTTGGTTTTATTCCATAAGGATGTTCATGAATGACTGATTTCTTGCATAATAATTAAATGCTTATTTTAGAGAAACAAGCAGGGACTTGTAGGTAAGAAATCAGATTAATGCATCTGCTTGTGAGGCCCCAGAGAACACTCCACCCCCCAGCTTGTCTTGTGGTTCCAGCACTGTGGCACATTTACCCTTGCAGTGCCAAAGAGTGGTATCAACGTCCAAAACCTGAGCATCCTCCTGTCCCTGCCCTGCTCCTGCAGCCACATTCAGGCTGTGAACCCACTGGCAGGCATCAATCAAAAAGTGCAACCACCAAAGCCCCAAAGCTGCCCATTTTCCCCATCCTGCTGAATGCATTTAACCACAGTGACTGTACAAGTGATTTTAAGTGTGGAACTATTTTAAAACTAAAACGTGTTCTAATGCACATCTCATTTAACTTTCAAATACACGCTGAACTATATTTACCCTGCTATGTAAGTCACTCGTTTTCCATTAAATAAGCTGGTTAATTCTGTTTGCCCATTTCTAGTACTAAGTTTTCACCTAATTACTGCACCAGATAAAAAATAGTGCTGTCTTCCTGACCTCTATTATGCATCACTAAGTAAAATGATAAAGACACCTCCTGAATATGCTCCTTGGAGGGGCAGGGGAAAATGGTTGCTGTGCCCACAGTGCTCCATTTCATGAGTCATAGCAGGATTCATTGACAGAAAGCACCAAGCACTAACAGCACACGAGTTGTGTGTAAGTAAGTTCCCCAGCCTTTGGATTTTGTTTGCTGCATGCCAATTAAAAGTTGTTACAAATGTCTTTGGTCTGGCTCTGATCTTCATCCATCCACTCCCAAGTGAGGATTTCTTTTGTTAAGCCAGTTTGGAGGGCCTTCTCCCCACTTCTGCTTTTCCACAGCATATGATAGATATGTGGCCAGCTCCCTGTAACTGTGGTGGTGTAAGCAGCAGTTGGATGGGAAGGGGCCAGGTGGCAGACAGTGCCACTGCTGTTGGCTCTGCTCATCATCACTCCATCAGCACTGCTGGGGGCTGGAGTTCACACCAGCTTTATACCAGCTGGATCCCATAGCATCCACAAAGCTTTCCAAGCTTCCAAGTATTGCATTGGAGAACAACCCTAGATATCATGTTACCCGGTGTGCACTGACCTTCAGACTGCCCTTCCAGCCCTTCCTGTTGTGTTTGGGGGAATGCTTTCCACTGGCACTCACGTAGAATCTCTCCCATTCCTGCAATGATCCAGGCATGAGGCAGCTGGCCAGATGTGCTGAACTTCAGCACCGCAGCAGCATTTTGGTCATGGATTTGCTGCATGTTCCCACATGAGGTTGCTTTGCAGCCTAATTAAAGAAAAAAAAAAAGCAAAATAAAAATCTATTGTTGTTTTATTGCATTTATTGCATTATTACTGTATTGTTATGGCAGCTTTAGTGTCTTAAATCAATAAAAACGGTTGTTTAGAAATCAATGTGGAATGGAGTAATATAGTCAGCTGAAATTAAAATAAAACTAATTGAGATCGCTGCCAAGCGTGAGCATTAAAAATGGTACAGGGTGGGGAGCAGGTCCTTCCTTGAGCAAAGTCCTGTCCAATTTTATCACAGAGCCACCAGTGCTGCCAGCACAGCCTTTGTGCGGGGCAGCAGCGAGCCTGGAAATGAAATCTCTCCTTCGTGATGCTCCAAAATTGATGGCACCATCTCTGCAGCGAGCAGGAGCACAACATTAAGCAAGCTATGAGTTTCACTGCGACCAACACACAACCAAGAAAAGAACTCACATACTGCTCACTACAAATACCTGCAGATAGAATGTAATCTTCTGAAATGGTTTGGCCTTCGGGTACCAAAATGGAGAAGAGTCACCGTGGTGCTTTGGTGGTGACGGTTTCTTTCTGAGAATAGAAGAGCCCACCATGGACTTTTGCTTTCGGAGCTGCTGACCTCAGCCTGGGCCAGGTTGACGTGTGCCATCCCAACATGGAGATGGATGTGCTCACAGCACTGACATGATGAACAAAACCCAGCTGCTCTGAACTGAGCTCTCTTTCCAAAAGTCTCCTTTGAAAAGCACTGTGGTTTTCTGGAGAAAATAGTTGATTCTTTTGTGCTTGGCTAAAAGCTGTTTCTCTTGAAACATACAGAGGACATAAAGAAGTATATTGTTTCTTTTTTATAAAGAGAGACCTGAACTGCTGGTTGGCCACAACCACCTTTGAAATAGACAGTTGAGATACAAAACAAGCCCCATTTTCTTAACAAATGATAATGATCATACTGGTGAATGCGCTCTCTTAACACTGCGTTTGAGCTGCTGAGCTTCTGCCGAGCGTTAATGCATCGATTGCCAGGTGACACCAGAGGAAACAGATTGGAAATGCTCAGAGTTTGACAGACAAGCGGACCGAATTAATATGGTTTTGCACTTTTTAGATAATGATCTTTTTCTTAATAGTGGTTTAATGTAGCCTAGAGGTCATACGCTTCCATTCCCACTCGATGTTTTTCTATTGTAGAACATAAAAATGATCTATTGACTTCGTGTCAGGTCTAACACACAGGGCTAATGGCACATGGATGAATCGTTAATGCTTTTCCCATTGTCATCTTGACAGTTCCCCAGGAGTTGTTTTCAATGTCAAACTTTTGCTGGGCTTGGTGAAATGTTCTGTGTTAAGAAGATGCATCGCTTCTGTTTCTCCCCATCCATTATGCAGGCATGGCCCAAGACAGTAAGAATACTATTCATTTTGTGTGCTATTAATAATTAGTGATTATTGGAAAGGCCAAGGGAACATAATTTGACAGCTGTGCAAACCACTTCAGTGAGCATGCCCAGTGTGCAGACCTGTGTTCGGAGTGGAGAGAGGACACAGGCAGGGATTACAGCCAAAATTAAGAAGGTGATGCTCCCTGAAAGGGCAAAATGTGAGGAAATGGAGCCTGGAAAGGACTCAGCTCTTCAGCTGTAGCTGATTGAGAAACACAACTTTTGACTTTGTCCAGTGAAGAACAGAGTGCGTATGTAGCAAGTGCCAATGCTCCCATTAAAGCTGTAATGCTAATCAAACTAATTACACACATGAGGCTGGCAAACTGCTGGAACATCACAGTGAAAAAAGCCTTACATAATTCAAAGGGGCAATGATATTTAAACATAAAATTGCTGGAAAAAGGATATGGAAATGAAATGTAGCAATCCATTAGCAAAAATTACACTTCCTTAAAGCAAGGCTTGCTTTAATGTCAGGTTGATAATTTTTCAATTACATAAAATGTAACACAAAAGTTGCATTAGAGTTCATAAACGTGTCTTCATTCAGCCATTACGCTCCTCTACGTTGGGATGCCAACAGTGACTGCCTTGTTTGGTGAGTAGATCCATGTGTTGTATGGCACTGGGCAGTAAAACACGATAAAAAACGTGATGGCACCATAAGGATAAAAGCATGGAAGAAAGGTGTGAGTTACACAAGCAAACAGCCGAGGCAATTCAGGGGTGCATGCCACTAACTTGCTGCCAGTGCTGCGTGCTGGTGAGCCCACGGCTGTTCCCAGGGATGGCAATAATGACCTGGCAGTCACACCACGCACAACAGCCATCCTATGACAGAGTCCCTCCCTCAGTTACAGAAACAATTCACCTGTTTCCCTTAGTTCTACTCATCCAAGCACACCTCGTTTCACTTCAATTAATGTCAACATTATATATTTCTTAATGGCTGTACTGTATTAGTGTTTCTTGTACGATGTTGAGGCACATTTGTTTTTGCAAAGAAGAGCGTAGCTTTACACTGTGCTTTATATTGGTGTATATCACTGAAATTTATACTGTGCAGAGGAAATTTCCATTTTGCTACTGTTAACAAGCTGTTTGCTGTTTATCAGAGCATCTATAAAGGAAGCTAGAATTAAAAAGAAGAACGCATAGTTCAGGAAAACTTCATCAGCTTTTTGTCATTCCCCACCGCCTCCTGCTTACCTTGCAAGCCCCCATGCATCACACCTGGGCTCCCGAGCCCCCCTGAGCTGCACTGCCATTGGTGAGACTGGAGGGCTGTGGGTGCCTCACTCGGGAGCAATGGCAGTGAGCTTTGCATGGAGATTTGCAATTTCAATCTGAACGTTCCTAATAAACCCGAGGAATGCAGGCCCTAGAATTCAGTTATGAGGTGAAGTAGCAGTACATCAATGTCATGCTTTATATTACGGCCTAGAAAAACGGTTGTGTTAAGCACTACCCAGGTCCTCAGAGACTGGACAATTATTTTTCAAGTGATATAAGCCCTGACAGCTTTAGCAACAGCACTCTATGCCAGCATTGTAATAAAGGCCCACCGAGCACTGCTGAGATGTACATATCAGGTGAATCAAGCAATGCTGCCCACACCTGTGGCTCTGCAGATGTCCTGTCCAGCCCTGGCAGGCTGATAACAAGGTGTTGCACGCCTCTCCCACGAGTCCAAATGGGCTGGCTGCTGCTGCAATGCCTGTGCTCCAGCTCTGCACTCCTTACTCTGCAAAGCAAGCCCATGGGTTAGGGATGGCTGACATCTCAGCCAAACCACCAGTAGCTGGAAAAAAAAAAGAGGGGAAATGATGGAAAAGCCAACAGCCTCCTTAAATAAGTGTAACAGCACCACTGGGCCTCGCCACAATGATCCTGTACTTGCAGGTTGTATTTTTTTCTCTTTTTTTTGCAGTGATACATCAAGTTAAGCATAGCGTAGATGACACTCAACAGGTTCCAAAAAGACAAATAAACAAAAATTCCCTTGTAACCAATTTTTCTTTTTCCCATCAGAGAAAGCAAGGAAAAGTCAGTCTGCTGGAAACAAAATTTCATCCTAGGTATACAGGACTGCAAGTGTTTAAAGATACTTTGTAGTTATAACTGGAGAAGAAATTGCCCTGCTATCTTTCCATTTCTCCTTGACATGCATTCAAAAGAACATCAATATTTCTCTTAAGACGTTGCTAGACTTGAGTGCTGTGAAGTTGCTATTATTCTTCCCTTTCCTTTAATTATTTTCTTCCATATATAGAAATTTGTTTTCCTCAGCTGATAAATATCATCAATTTAAGGAATGCTACTATCATATAACCACACAAATATATTTAGCATATAGAAAGTGTGTTCTCCCTTCGTCATTATAATAGAAATACAACTTGATTTATAATAATGTTATTGTCTCCTGCAACCCATTCATTTTTTTCCAGTGGAAGGGCTGCAGGTACTGAGAAGAGAGGAGGTGGCACTGCCACAGTATTCCATTGCTGTTTCTTGCTGGGGATTGACTCCATGGCTTTCTGGAAAGGGTGAGGTGCACCAAGGCCCTCTGGTCCCTAGGTGGGATGTAAGGGTTTGAAGATTGCTCCTATCCATCACGCCCACCAAGCCACCAGCACCTCATGGGTACCTGAGCATCCATCCTGGGGTCCCCACTGTTACTGGGGTGCAGCACCCCACCACACACCCATCACTGCCCCATTGGAGCAGCTGGGATCAGTTCAGTCTGCTGCCGGAAAGGGTTCCTCTGCTTTCTTTGCAGAGAAGCAGCTGCAAGCACTGAGCTCGCCGGCTGCTGAGTCTCAGCTGAGAGCTTCCCATCCTGCATCCACTCCTGTCTGCACCTATTTGCCTATTAAGCAGAGTTCAGCTGCTCTGCGAGCAGGACTGAGATGGCACCATTCATCTGCGCTCACTCCCCAGGCTGGCAGTGCTGCAGCACAATGTAGCTGCTGAAAATGCCTCTCACTGTCTGGGACGGGGAAATTTCAGTCCCTGGCAGCGATGCACACACACACACCAAGTTTGATATAATGAAGTGAAAGCCAGATTGAGCTGTGCCGACCAACACACCTGTAAGTTACCTCTGCTGCTCAGGGGATCATCCACCGGAGGAAATCTCTGTCTGTCTCCACACCTGCTGCTCACAAAGCACTGTGCCTCTGCCAGAGCTCTCCATCAGCAACTCCAATATTTGCAAATTCTCAGTTGCAATTTTTCCCTAACTCCTCTGTTCTGAAATGGCCGCTCAGAAACACACACAACTTGTTTTTTCCCTCTTTCTTTTGTAAGGGAGGCATTTGTTTAATGAGGCATTGATGGATCTGAGCTGCCAGATGGAATCGTCTCGGTGGTTTTGTGGGTTTTCAGCAGCAGCTTGCTTCTCGAGCTGTGGTTCTCTAGCCCACACTTCACATGGCAACCCATGCTAAAGCCCTCAGGTGAAGTGATTTCTGCCCTCCTTCTTCCAGTGTCTCTTGGTGCTCTGAGGTCCCTGGGGTTGCCCTGTTGCTAGCACAGCCCCACTGCTCTGGTCCCACACATAGCATCCAGAGATGACATTTACCACAACATATACCAACAACTTTTGACTCAAGTAGTAAATCTTAAAAAAAACAAATCTTACTGTCATTTCTTGTATTTTTGACTAACCTTGAAGATTCAGATGGAACTGAAAGTGCTGGTTTTAACTTTAGTTTGTTCATTACCAGATGCTTTTTTCCCACTGACTTTGTCCCATAGCGATGCATGTGCATCAGGTACAGGTATGGCATGATTTGTGGCATTGTACAGAGCACCCTGCAGGTGTTGTATGCCATGGACTCATCTTCCTACAAGACAAAAGAGGAGAGGAGTCAACTCTTTGAAAGGGTAGATAACAGCAGGACAAGGGGAAATGGTTTGAAGTTGAAGGATGGAAGAAGGGATGTCATGGGGAAATTCTTTAGAGAGAGTGGTGAGGTGCTGGAACAGCTGCCCAGAGGAGCTGTGGATGCCCCATCCATCCCTGGAGGTGTTCAAGGCCAGGCTGGATGGGGCCCTGGGCAGCTTAGTCTGATATTAAATGTGGAGGTGGATGGCCCTGCCTGCAGCAGGGGAGTTGGAGATTGATGATCCTTGAGTTCCCTTCCAACTCAAGCCATTCTATGATTCCATGCCCCAGGTGAGAGCACCCAGCTGCATTCATGGTCCTGATGCACTGTGCCCTGCCCTGCTGGGCCACACTGGCAGCCACAGGGGATGTGATTTGCAAAGGCTGAGGCAAAATCTGCCTTGAGTTGGCTGGAAACTGCTACTCCTCCATCTACATAAAAATGAATCAGAGCCATAATGCTCATCTTCTGTACTCCCAATTAGAAACTATAATCAAACTGTCCACACGCTTGGATCTGTCCGTTTTTGCTCCAGTCTCTCCTATTCAGGGATATATGGACTATCAGTTATTAAAAAATCCTTCTCTTTCTGATATAAATATTCACTAGATGTGGTTTCTTTTGTCTGCACAATAAATATTACAGGGAAGCTCACCAGGAAATTAGAGCAGAGCCTGCAGCTGGCTGTCCTTGGATGATGTACTGCGAATGAACGGCATCCTGTGGGGATTATTCCAGTCCCCGAACATCATACTTCTTGTATCTGAACATCAAAATATGCTTTCTTCCAACTCCAGACAACGGTACACATATAAATTTTCTAATGGATTTTCTGTTCAGCTGTCACTGTGGCTGATCCAGTAGACAGAAGTATATCAGCCACATCCACTTATATTAGAAGTACCATAACGTTCCCAAAGTCGCTTTGAATTTGGTTTGATGGTCTCAGATTTCAAGTAATGTACAAAATCACATATTAAGCACTTTCTTTTGTACTCCTTCAACTGGTGTCCATCCACCCGAGCGTGTGCAAGGCCTTAGACATGGTCACACAGCACATCCTTATCTTTAAGTGGGAGAGATACAGGCTTAAAGGGTGGATATGGAGTGGGTTGGGAGGTCACAGCTGAAGGGTGACAGTGAGCTGCTGGGGTGGGCTCAGAGGTGGCCATGAGGATGCACAGAGGGCTGCAGCACCTCTCCTATGCAGACAGGCTGAGGGAGCTGGGGATGTTCAGCCTGGAGAAGAGGAGGCTGTAGGGAGCTCAAAAGGTGTTAGTACCTTCTTGAACAGATTGTCCTTACCTTCAGGCAGGACTGTGGCACAGGACTGAACCCTGGAATGGTCTGGAAGGATACGAGGAGATGTCTGCTCTTCATCCATCGGCAGCTACACCGCATTCATCAATGTCACAAAAGCTGTTCCCGGCTCCCATCTGGCCCAAGTCCAGCCTGTGCTGGAGCTATGATATTGGTTTTGGATAGATTAGCTCTCAGTTAGTCTTTAGCTGTCTCGTGGAGGAATTATTGCACTATAATACAGTCTGTAATTACATGCTCACATGATATCTTTTCCATTCAATGCACAGGATGGAAATGTATGGGGAAGCATTAAGGTTGCAGGGACAAAAGTGAATTTGACCTTAAGGTGCTTGCATCCAATCTACAAAGCCTTCCTGTTGGCACAGCTTGTCAAAAACTCCGTTAATTACTCAGAGACCAGATTTGCCAGGCTGCACTTAACAGCCAAACAGACAGCACTTCTGCTCAGAGAGCTGCATGAGTGAAATTCAGCCCTGGACACACTCAGCAAGGAAATTAGATGAGTGTGACACTACCAGCAGCTGGGAGGGAAGGGGGCATCCCTCATGGTTGGGCACAGCATGGGCATTTACACAAACCCTTCCTCACATCTTCTTTGCACGCACCTGAAGCATCCCTTGCTCGTGGCTCTGCAGAATCATTTTCCCAGCACAGGGCAGATCTGTGCAGCCCTGCAGCTGGGCTCTCCACGTGCACATCTTGCTCCACCCAGGGATGCATGAAGGCTGAGGTCACCAGTTTTGCAGCAGCACCATTCCATGGTTCTACAGCACCTAAGCTGATTTCTGACCCAGCTCTTCTCCAGTCATCCTCCTGCAGAGACACTGCTTGCACTGCGCATGGTGCCACTGCTCAGCAGTGCTCCTGGACCACCAGCAAGCACTCAAGTATTTCTTGTATCACTCTTACTGCAGCTCATTACACTGAAATCCCATTTTCAAGGCCATTATCTTCATTTTTGTCATTCAGGGAGTGCTATAGCCAGTCTCAGCTTAATGTTCCCATGGGAAAAGCAGCTGTGACAACGACAGTAACACAACAGATACTCAACAGGGCTTCATAACGCTGGGCTGCAATATGTTTGACTTTCACGTGTGGCATGCATGTATGATAATTCACAGCTGACATTACTGAGAAGTCTTTAAAGGTATCAAGAAAACAACAGGTTGAGGTTTGTAAAATTTGTTTTCCCGAGGGAGGAAGCAATTAAAGCATCCATTGGAAAGTGTTAATATGTCTCTAATTATTAATGAGAGGCAGCAACAGCTGGCTGCATTACCCGACACTAAGTCCATATCCTATATACCTACCCTTTGTATACCATGTATGCTATATATCAGACATACCCTATAAGCTTCTGGATTTTCTCAGCTGCAATAAAGCAACCCTGTTTGTGTCACAGTAATATCCCGGAAATTATTACCCTTCAAAGAAAAATCAATTTTTTAAGTTATGTATTACTTAGGGGAAAAAATGTGAGCAAGGAACATTTCTCCATGTTATTTATTTCTGTTGCTCTATGGTGATGGGGGGTTGTGATGACATCTCAGGACCACTTGGTGACTGATGTTTGGACTGACTGAAGTTAGATTAAGCCTAACTAACAACAGTTAAGCAGCAGCTTGAGGACTATGCAGCTCTTTGCTTCAGAGCACTGACACTGAGTTTCGTATTAGAGGACGCTGCCACCTGTTTGCATGCACTTTCAGGCAGAAGCAGGGAGATGCAGATTCTTTTTTGATTCAAACAAAAGCTAAATGATTTAACTCTATTTCTATTTCTATTTCTATTAACTCTATTAACTCTATTTAACTCTATACTAACCAGTCATTATCTCCTATCAAAGCAGACTGCTTCCAGAGGAGAAGCTTTTTGCAGGACCCCTCAGTGCATCTCTCTGCTGTTTTAGGCCAGTGAGTGCTGAAATGCAGAGCAAAAGCTTCAGCTCCAATCCTCCAGGGCTTGAGTGTTCAGGGCATAACTGGATGTGGTGTAGGGTGGGTGATTGCACTCCTATTCAATTTGTTTTTTGACTTGCCATATGCAGCCAGGAGGGGAATCCTTATGCAGATGGATTTGTCGTACAACACAGCTTTCAGTAACAGCAAAACTTGTCTGAAAATCTACTTTATAGCCATCCTTGCTTCTACAGCCTTGAGATCCTAAGGCTCAGCAAATGACTACGCAAGGATCACAGCAATACAACTGGCATTTTCCCCCTTCTAATCCTTTGAAATTTCAAGATGATACCAAATACTGGGGTTTATTTTGTTTTTGCAGTTTCTACCTCTTTGGTAAGTGAAGTCCAAAATCACCATCAAAATAAAGCAGCAGTGCAAACATGGTGTGCAAAGTCATGGCCCTCATGCAGCAGCCTCACAGGGCCAGCGGCTGGCAGCCAGCATGTCACAGTCTCCACAGTGAGGTGCATCTATGCAAAAGCAGCTCATTCTCCACAAGGGCATGGACACAATACTTTCAGTGCAACCATGCTGTTCTCCCTGTTAAAGCTTTCCACTCCTCTGTTTAGATGACATTTAATTACCTTTTCCTTCTCCCTCCAAAATCCAAATGAAACGACAAGTTCTACAGAGCAACATTGACATTTCAGTCGCTTGGTAGCTTCCATCTTCTCAGTCCCTATAAAAAAAAGGTGATATCACATTTTCACCACCAATGCATAAACATCACCAAGCCTGTGATACACAGGGATTCACTCTAAATCTAGAGGTTGGCAGCCCTGCCAGCAGCAGGGGGGTTAGAACTTGATGATCCTTGGGGTCCCTTCCAACCCAAGCCATTCTATGATTCTGTATGTAATTTTCATCAGCAGCTCTTGTAATAAATCCAACACCACGTTTGCATTTCCAGCATATGTTGTTTGCCTTTCCAACATAGCAGCTTCTGAAGGGCTGTTCCCCTCTGACATGACACATCTGACAGTGCCACAGGAAGCGGGGGATCTTCAAAGAGTGCCACAGCATTGCTGGGAGTGCAGAATGCATCTGTGTGCATCTCACAGCAGGAAAAGCAGCCACTTCGGGAGTAATTAATGCAAATCACTGCTCCACGTGTTCACATACACTCTTGTTCTGCTGCGAGAAACTTGCGGTGTCCAGTAGCAAAATGCACAGAGTGACAGCCATGGTCTGGAAAACAGGAATAAATCCAACACAGAGCAAATGTGAGTGGGATGTGGAGTGGGCAGGAAGTTATGGTGCTTGCCCAGGAAAGCTGCACCTCCCTCTGATGGCATATAGAATCACAGAATTGCTCAGGTTGGAACAGACCTTAAAGATCATCAAGTCCAATCACAACCTAACCATACTACCCTAACAACCCACTGTTAAATCACAGCTCTGAGCACCACATCCAAACAGTTTTTAAACACACCCAGGGACGGTGACCCAACCACTTTCCTGGGCAGCCTATTCCAGTGCTTAACAACCCTTTCCATAAAGAAGTTTTTCCTGATATCCAACCTAAATTTGCCCTGACACAACTTGAGGCCACTTCCCCTCATCCTGTCACCAGTGAGAAGAGACCAGCCCCACTCTCCCTGCAATCACCTTTCAGGTATTAGAAGAGAGCAATATGTTTGCTTAGCGATGGCCACGTTGCACCTTTGAAATACAGTTTTGGTACTTTGGGAGGAAGAGAGGTCCCAGCTTCAGCACATCAGTGAGTTAGGGCCCAAATCCTGCATACTGCATTTTAAAAATCCCTATTATCCCCTCTATCAGTCAAAGACTCTCAGAGCTTCTGCAGGCACCAAGAGCCACCAGTGATAGCGTGGGTGAAAGCAGCTCCTGGCAGAGAGCAGCCTGCAGTTGTGCAGATCTGTACCCCACACTCAGGTTACACCATCACCGAGCAGGGAGCTCTGTGGGACCAATTCCAAACATATCTGATGGTCAGGTTTGGAGCAGAGATTGTAAAAATGGTGCTCAGCATGTTTTCTGTGATGGCTTTTGAGTACTTTTGTTATTTAAATCCATTTTCCTGCATACTAAATTTGCTACCGTTAGCTAATCTGCTTCATGTCAGATGAAAGTAGAGATAATATGAATACTTACAGGTTCCATTTGATACAAATTTTTAGATAAGGCACAGTGAAATGGAAGAAATTTCTGAAACAATTCACATGACACTTCTATACAGTTCATTTCCTTCGTTTTCATTTTGCCTGCATCTCATTTTCTTTGTAAATTCCTCCACCCAGGCTGTAAATGCTGCAGAATGTGATAGCAGTCACAGATGACCCATTCGAAGCTGTGTAGGTGACACAGAAACTCAAGACTCGATGTAAAAAATGAGTTGCAATGCTTCATTGAAAGTCAATTCCTGTCTGCAAGTAGCTTGATCCCTTCCTAAGACTTTGCCCAGCCTTCTTTCCTTCCTATAGACATTTTAAACACTCTGCTCCTCTTCTGAGCTTGTACAAGCTCATATGTGTGCACATAACAGCTCCTGAGCCATCTCTGCTTCAGCAAGTTACTGAGACAGGGGAGGCTGAGGTTGGATATGAGGAGGAAGTTCATCAGCCACAGGGTGGTGAGGCACTGGCACAGGTTGCCCAAGGAGGCTGTGGATGCCCCATCCCTGCAGGCATTCAAGGCCAGGCTGGATGTGGCTCTGGGCAGCCTGGGCTGCTGGTTGGTGACCTGCACACAGCAGGGGGTTGGAGCTGGATGAGCACTGTGCTCCTTTGCAACCCAGGCCATTCTATGGTTCTGTGGTTTCTTGGCACAAAACATGAAGCTACAGCTGCACTACAAGCTATGATATAGTTATCACGTCCAGGAGTTTGCTCCAGAAAGCAGCCTCCATTATCAGATATTCACAGACATTGTCTACCAGGTTTTGCAAGCTTCCTTCCCCCAGCTGAACAAATCGGCCCTATAAAAGCCTCTTAAAACCACATTATGATTTTTTCTCATCATCACATTACTAGGAACTAAGAGAAATGAGACAGAATCTGGATATCCATAGCACATGGGCAATTTCTGAGAGTTCCTGGAAGACTGTACGCAAATTGATGTTACCCTTGACTTTGTGCTCTATCTCAATTTTGTACATAGCATTTTCCTCTTCCATTTAATGGAAACTTAATTGCTACAGAAAAAAAAAATAAAGAGAAGCAAAACCAATGTGTGATTCAACACTCACAATATTGCTCCCAGACATTGGGTCTGAACGGGGGATTTCTCAACACAGAATGCTTTTCTTTGGGAAGGAATTAATTGTGCATGTCAGCCAAGAGCCACAGTGTCCCCCCTCAGCCCAAAGCCATGACCAGAACTGTGTGCTCCTTCTCCACTTTTTTCAGTTGAAAGAAGGCTGGGAGATGTTCCCCAGTGGTTCCACATCCTGCAGGGAGATGGCAAAGAGAATTTGGGACTGAGCAGCCAAATCAGCAACAAGAAAGGACTTTCCCACCAGGGCATTTCTGCTTTGCCTCAACAATTGATTTTCTCCCCATGGTACAAATATCTCTCGTTGGAAATGTTCCTTGCAACCCTATTAAGATACTTTCTAGCTTTTCACAAATGCAAGGAGGGAATGCATAGGCTGAAGTAGCTGGCGTGACGCAATTTGGTCATGGATAGAATCATAGAATCATGAGGTTGGAAATGACCTACAAGATCATCGAGTCCAACTGTCCTCCCATCACCATTGCTGCCACTAAGCTACTAGCCCAGATCTCGTAGCTCCTCATGCCAGGGATGGCGACTCCACCTCCCATCTGAGCAGCCCTTTTCAGTGCCTGAAAGTGCCTGAGAGAAAGAGTTCTTCCTTACATCTAACCTAAACCTCCTCTGCTACAACTTGTGGCCATTTCCTTGGGTCCTGTTTGTTGCCTGGGAGAAGAGGCCAAACCCCTCCTCCAATAACTCCTATAAATCAGGCAAATCTTATAAAGGCAAACACAAAGTCTTTGTCAGAGCACTGGTAGGTAAAATTGGTTTCTGTGTTAATCAAGATCGAGGTTAAGTACCAGTAATAAACAGAACTATGGTAATGAACTAACATGCCATCAGGAGGCTGACAAGAATAACCCATGTGCAGCTCCTGTACCAATATGAATGTGTGCTCACTGAAAGTATAAGGGACCTCGCTGATCAGAAGAGTTTGAGATAGGAAACCAGAAGAACATATGCATCAAAAATAGGGGACAGTAGTTCTTTGGAAACATCCTTATGACTGTTCCAACACTACCTTTGTATCAGGGTGTGTTAATTTGAATTTTGCTGAAATAAAGCTGTGACTTTCTGGGTAATCTCAGAATGAAAGTAAAATGTAAGGAAAGGAATGAATCTTTGTGCTGTGCCTAAACTCAATCTGATCTAAGCATTCCATTTTTGTTCTAAAGAAAAGTAGGATATAACTGTGTGAATCTGTTTCCTTCCTCTGCTTTCATTCTTGTAAATCATCAATCCCACACCGAATCTCAGCACCCAGTGTTGTTTTTCTGCCAAACAATCTTGAGACTTGTGCGCTGAATGAGAAAAAAGGATGGATAGAAAACTCACATTGCTTAACAAGCAGGAGAGCCTCCCAGGTTACAGAAGCCAAGGCCTCAAGACTAAGAAGCCAGGCTGGATGTGGCTCTGGGCAGCCTGGTCTGCTGGTTGGCAACCCTGCACATAGCAGGGGGTTGAAACTACTTGAGCATTGTGGTCCTTCTCAACCCAGGCCATTCTATGATATTATGATCCTTTTATTTGCTATGGCATCTTCCCAATGCAAAACAAGATCTTTTGCCTGCATATATAATTGTTTCTCCTTCTGGACCACTGTGACAGATGGGTGTGTTAAATTGATGTTTAATATGTTGATACATAAAGCTCAATTCCTACCGTAGAAGTGTGATGCTTGCTAGAGAAGATTAAAATTCAGAATGGTAATAATGGATATAATTCTTGCTTTCCTGTTTAGCTGAAGCCTTGGGGTCTGGCTTGCAGGTGGACATGGTACCAGTCTGAGTATAAAAGCAGCCACAGCACAGGTGATGATGCAGAGCAGCCTCACACATGGGAGGAGAACTTGCAAGAGCTTTGCAGAAGCTGCTGAAGCCACTGGGGTTGCAAGCTGCCAGGTGCACCACACCAGGCATCCCCCAGAGCTGCTCTGCTCAGAGAGCTGCTCCCTGAATTAGCACCAGGATGACTGCTGCAAAATGCTGTTGGACAAGTTCAGGCAACAAATGGCTATTTCTTAGCAATTCACAATGCTCTCTCTCCTCTGTCTTTTGCTTGTGTCCCATTTATATCCTGACAGAGCTGCTGAGCAGCCCCCAGATCAGCCAGCACTGCTGCACAGCCCCAGATGCTTCCCCACACACCTCACCTTCATGCAAACAAGTCTCTTCCATGAGTGAAATGCACTACATTTGCTAAATGCATGAAAGACAAAAAGCAAAACAAAAGAAACCCGATCAAATTAAAACCAAAAAGACATGCTTTGCTTGATGTAGCAATAATTAGCAAGGATTTGATCTTCCTGCCAAACGACAGCTATGGTAAAATACAGCATGAAGAGTTACTGCCTGCACCCAGAAGTTCATACATAGAGTCCAAAAGAAGTGTAAAAGTCCTCTTTTGCCCATAGACTATGCTTTAAAGGGAAAAAAAAGAAAGAAAAAAATGAAGAAGATCTTTTGCAGGCTGCAGCTAAAGCCCAAATATCCAGTTGGTATACATCTATTAAATACAAGGGTCTCAGGATGAGCAAGGTCTAAATGTCTGCAATAAATAATGTGAGTAGCTGCGCTTTTTACAATTCCCCTTTCCCTATTACTAATTGCAAGCATCCTATTAGCTTTAATTACAGCTACTAAACATTCAGCAGCCATGCAATATTTATCAATCTAGCTGCAATGGCTCCTAGGTGATGCTTTTCCTGAGATGTGGCTGGTTCTGTTTAGCACCAGAACAATGTGCCTATGCAGTATGAGGAATCTGCACAAAAGCATTAAATCACTCAAGAGTGAGTAGCTGAGCAATAAACACATTTAGAGCTCTGGTTAAAGCCAGTAGGACGTGTCCTCCAGGGGATGCCCTCTTCCATCCTCCTCAATCCCTTACAACAACCACGGGATCCCTCAGATGCAAAAAAAACCCTCTCATTAGCTCACATGGCCCTGCAGCTCATTGTCTGCAGGCATTCATTAACCTTAACCCTGTTCTGATTTTGCTGCACAACTCCAAATTTAGTGCCACCAGATGGGGACCCCGTGGTGCTGCAGAGCTCCCACCTGGAGAAGTGCTGCCCGCGGATGTCAGGGTTTGGAGTGAAATGCATATGGCAGAGATGGCAATAACTGTGACAGTGCTGAGAGCAGCAAACCTCACTCTTAATGGCAGCTCCTGCGTGGCTTCTCACCCCATCTCTTCATTAAGACATACTTGCTCCTGAAGCCAAAGCAGTTCCCCATCACACAGCCAGAGGAACACACAGACAGGAGCTCCCCACCAGCAGTGTGCAGCCCAGTGGGAAGCCAGGGAATGCAATGGGTTGCTGTGACATCTCCTGCATGCTCCTCTACAGACTGTCCTCACATTCTGCAGAGCCAGAGCACAGGGACACAAGGACATGGGGACACAAGGATGCCAGGATACAGAGACATCAGGACACAGGGCACCAGGACAGGGGGACATAGGGACAGAGGGGCACCAGGATACAGGGACATAAGGACACATGGGATGCAGGGACAATGGGACACCCCCTCAATAGGAAGGGGAATGTGTAAGCAGAGCCCTCAGCCCCACTCATGCCCTCCTCTCTCTGAAGAGGCCCCACTGCAGTGCCTCCCTGCCTCAGGGAATAGCAGTTTCCTAGAATAGTATCCCAAAGTAGAAGACATAGCTGCTGAAAACTTTAAAGGATTATTACAGGAATGGTAATAAACACTATCAATGATTCCTGTATTTTTCTGCATTTAAAAACAGCATTTATCACAGCTATGGGTTTTAACAGCCTTTAAATTTCTTTTATCGCTGCGAGTAGATTTGTAGTGCTGTGCACTATATATTTAACTCTTCTGATCTACACAATGATTATTTTGTATAAAAGCTGATTTTTTTCATTTTAATTTCTCCGTTACAATGCATCCTTTTCATTTTGTCATGTTTGTTTCTAACCTATTAAGGAACTCTGTGCTCACTGGAATTACCATTGCCTTACCTCCAGACTGGTTGGTTTCCTTCATTGCGTCCCTCTGTGGAGCAAGGTAGTGGAGCTGATGGCATATTCCCATCTAAAGATAAATTTACCAACAAAAAAAAACAACAAAGGATGAGTAGGAAGCACATGTGCAAGCTGCTGGGTTTGAAGCTGCAGACAGAAAAGAAAAGAGAAGAATGCTGCCAGAATCACAGGGAAAACTCAACAAAAGAGCTTTTGAGCTAAGCCTTGACCCCAAAGACGCTACAGAAGTAGGAGATGAGACACTATTTCTTTTTTGATTCTTCCAAAGAAAGACTTTTATGTTCTCTGTAACAAATAAACATCTCTATCTCCAGCACTGATGCCTGATGCTGTGCCAAATGGTTGCAGTGGCCATCAGGAGCCCTGGCAGCAGGGATCTCTGACACGATGTCACACCCATAGAGCTCATCCAGGCTAGCCAGGATTCACACAAATTCTACTTGTGACATTTTGGGTGTTTTCTTCCTCACTGTACCTGTATAAAAGTATTCAGGTGACAGAAATATCTGATGGTTCACATTCAAATGCTTTTCAAGACCAGTGGGAAAGGGTGAAGAAAAGTTCAGCGAATTGCTTTGTTTTGAAGGTAATTCATGCCATGCAAGCTTCCTAATCATTTAAACACTGCAAATTCATTCATATTTAATGCATCTCTACCATGGTGAGGACCTGAATTAAACGTAACTTATGTGTTTTGTAGATCAGACACTTTATACTCACCTCAGCTCCCTCCCACCTGCAGGGAGTGTGAGCCAAGTGCTCGAGCAGAGTCCGTTCTCCATGGGAATGCCCTGTGCCCACCGGGCTGCTGGCACAATAAGATGCTTTCAGCTGCTCTGCTTGACGTTGCACTGTGGTGTAGCAAAGCATTCAAGCATTGGTGGCCCAGAGATTAAAGAAGCAGCGTGGAAGGTTTGCAGAGGGCTGGGGAAGCATCATCCTGCTGGCTCCAGGCCTGGCCAGCAAAATGCCCTGGTTCTGGCTGCCAGGGGTGGCTGTAAGCCAGAAAACAAAGTGCTCCTACAGGGCAGTGTTTGCAGAGCCACAGCTCTGATGCACTGGAACAGGTTGCCCAAGGAGGCTGTGGATGCCCCATCCCTGCAGGCATCCAAGGCCAGGCTGGATGTGGCTCTGGGCAGCCTGGACTGCTGGTTGGTGACCTGCACACAGCAGGGGGTTGGAGCTGGATGAGCACTGTGCTCCTTTGCAACCCAGCAATTTCTATGATCCCATGATCTCAGTGCTCCAGGGTGCCAGCATGAAATTTGGAGAGGTCTGTGAAACAGAGAGAGTCTAATTTGTGATAATGGGCCTCGGTGCCCCACTGCTCATCCCTTAGGTACCCATTCTAACACACTGTTGCTTGCCAGTTCCAAGGTACCATGCAGGCAGTGCAGTCCACCTGCAGCATGGAAGCACTGTATGAAGGGCTGTGGCACAGACACCTTCCTCAAGTTCTCATTTCCAGCTATCTGAGACAACTTTGTTCTGGTGTAATTCGAAGCAATATATTGCACTGATCTTACATTCACAGACATCAAAGTTGTTCACATCTACGTACAAAGCGTGACACTTGCTCCATTACAGCATTCAAACCAGGCAGAAGACAAGGCTCTTTGATCTGGTTTTGTTGCTTCCTGAATTTTGTTCATTTTCATTTTCCCATGGAAGTAAGAGACGTAGCTAAAGAAATCTCAATAAAAATTGTCCCTGGTGTAGAATGTGACAAGCAAGCAGACGTGATTCATGAACATTTATGATGTATTAATGAAACCAAGACAACCTTTCTTCCAAACATGCAGACAACCATATAAACAACTTTGTCAGCATTGGCATAAGAATAAATGAATTAACTGTTTCCAATGTGTGAATTTTCTAGTTTAAGCTAATTGTACAGAGCACAACAGATCTGAAAGGAGGTTCTGCTGGCTGTGCCAACGGAATGCATGCATATACGTGGCTGGCAGAAGGGGACAGAGTAAAGCTGCATCCCAAAGAAAAGCACAGTCCTGTCAGATCAGGGCCATTTATATAAGTAAGTGTAAGCCCAACACTGCCAAATAGATATCAGGAAGAGAATCCATTAAGTGTTATTGAAAGTCAGGGTATCCCCTCTAGCTAAGAAAAGTTATTAGTCTGACAAATGTCAAGTGCTAATCTAGAACTAATGGGATTTAATTTTATGAATTGTTTTCATAAATATTCTAAAATGTCTTTAGAGAGACATATTATATAGTTTCAGATCTCTTGAATTCATAAAAATATTTTAGCACAGAATATGAATAATTCACTGCTATGATTTTATTTATATAGAGAAACGATATTTTATTTGTTTGCGCCTTAAACCACAGCGTCTCAACGTCTCCATTTGCCACAAGCCCAAGCAATGGTGTGCAGGAAAGAAGCAGAGAGAGCCAACAAAGCACTGCTCCTCAGAACTCCTCTGCTCAGATAATATGAATGAAGCACCTTTATTTTACCTGCACGTTGCAGCAGTACTTCAGAGCTCCGTTCCAGCGGCCGCATCGCCCTCTATTCTTTTCATGGGAGTCTGGGAGGGGAGGGTTGGATTTTCTGTGCTCTTCGTGCCAGCTGCCTGCTGTCAGCAGGAGAGTTCCTCTCTCTGTTGCTCGGTTCTCCTTCCACTGGAACAGTGCTGGAAGGTGAGTTGGGAGAGATGAAAAGCACTTCAGAAGGAGCAGGGAAGGGAAGTGAGAAACTGGAGCTAGGCTTTGTTTGCTCAGCTCCTTTTGTCCCAAGGACCATCCTGCAGGGCAGCCCAGCCCCGCTGCCTGCACCGTGCCTCACATAGCAGCAGCCCAACATCCTCTGCCCCTTCATTTCTGCATTTCTTTGTGAGCAAACAATGCTGGTGTATTTTCCTACCACCTTTTCATGAAGCAGGTGGTGGAAGCCAGGTCTGGCACCTCCTGCTCTGGGGAGGGTGCTGGCAGCGTCTGGCATATCTGACTGAGACACCACAGCACTGGGTGCCTGTTGTTCAGGTGGAGCCTTTGCTTGCTTCAATGCTGCAAGAGTAATCCCTGGTGCAACACAGCTTCCCCACCAAAACTTCTTTACATTACTTTGGAGATACATGGAATCATAGAATGGCCTGGCTTGCAAAGGAGCACAGTGCTCATCCAGCTCCAACCCCCTGCTGTGTGCAGGTCACCAACCAGCAGCCCAGGCTGCCCAGAGCCACATCCAGCCTGGCCTTGAATGCCTTGCAGGGATGGGGCATCCATAGCCTCCTTGGGCAACCTGTGCCAGTGCCTCACCACCCTCTGGGGGAAAAACTTCCTTTTAATATCCAACCTAAACCTCCCCTGCCTCAATTTAAAACCATTCCCCCTTGTCCTATCACTATCCACCCTCATAAACAGCCATTCCCCCTCCTGTGTATATGCTCTCTTCAAGTATTTTAAGGCCACAGTGAGGTCTCCCCACCTTACAGACTGCAAGCCAGCACTGAGGTGGCGATCCAGACGGAATAAATGGCAAAGAAACCAGCATTCCATGCCCCTTTCCTCATTCTCCGATTAATGCTGCTTTATGCCAGGGTTTGCTCTTGTGCCCCACACCTGCCCAGGGCACAAGGCTCTCCTGCCTTGAGTCACCTTCCCCTACTTCCAGCAGCACCTGTTGATTTCCCTCAAAGCTCCTCAGTACAGAGAGGATTTCTGAGCATACAAAGCCCATCTCTTATAATAACATCTCCCAGTCACTTGTTATATCCTTGTAAAAATGACATTAGGTACTCTACAGTACAGCCGAGTATTTCAGCAGTAAATGAGATCGTGCTCACCTGAATTTATTCCCCAGTATAGGCATGGTCTGGAGAATCACTGAAGTGCAACATTTCAACTCTTCACCATCACACAGACATCAGAGCAGAGTCGGTTTTGTATATGTTTGCAACCAACATCAGCACCCTGTGCCCTGTCTCCTTTCATAGCACTGTCCGTGCTCAGGTCTCCACCAGGCTTGCATGCCTGCAATAGGCAAAACAGGACTTCTTACCCATGGCAGATCAGCTTCTGCTTTCTAAAGGGAAGAGCATGTCATTTTATAACTCAATTGGTTCTGCTTTCTGCCTATTTTGCATTTAATTGTGCAGTCATTTGGTAGTTGGAGAGGGACAGAACAAATATCATTATTTTCAACAGAGTTTCTGCTGTTTTGCTCTACTTCATTAGGTAGAAACAAGCACTAATCCTGAAAACCAAGTATGATTAAGTAATAAAAGTTTGAAAGAAATTGCACTAATAAGGAAAATAACTGTAATAACCTCCCCTTCTTTAACAACAAACACATCTTTGTTAAAATCTGATCACCCGAGGCAACACCCAGGTTGTGCAGAAGCTTTCTTTTTCACTAAGGAGCTACAATGCCATGGCAGAGGTTTGCTCTGTTCCCACCTCCCTCCTCACTGCCAGCTACAAAGAGCAGTGCAGCCCTGGGCAGTGGGGCTCCCATCTGCAGTCTCTGTGGCCTTTCTGAATCCTCTCCTGGCAATATGGACTGAAAGTGATTCTTGTTTGCAGGACAAAACAAGAAATAATTTCACTTCCTGGAGGAGGTGGAATTATAGAATCCTAGAATGGCCTGGGTTGCAAAGGAGCACAGTGCTCATCCAGCTCCAACCCCCTGCTGTGTGCAGGTCACCAACCAGCAGCCCAGGCTGCCCAGAGCCACATCCAGCCTGGCCTTGAATGCCTGCAGGGATGGGGCATCCACAGCCTCCTTGGGCAACTTGTGCCAGTGCCTCACCACCCTCTGGCTGAAAAACTTCCTCCTAATATCCAACCTCAACCTCCTCTGTCCCACTTTAAAGCCATTCCCCCCTGTCCTATCACTATCCACAGACATCCTCACATTTTCTGAAAGCTGAAATCCCACAGGCTGTTTTCCAGCTATCTTTGTTCTCCCTGAACGATGTGCATCCTCACAGTGTCTTACATTGCTTTAGCTCCAAATGGAGCAGCAATGTGTCAGACTTGTACATTCGTGACTTATAATCTTGAATATGCTTTTAAAGTTTCAGCGCTCGGTGCCAAGCATTCCCTGCACTACATCCCTGCTCAGACAGGAATGTGCCACATGTAGAGGAGGGCTCTCCACTCTTTGTTGTCACACCCAGCTCATTTCCCAGGTGACAGTCCCATCCCACCTTCCTCTGGACCAACAGGAGATAGCCACGTACCATGGGAAGAATGCCACAGATAGTTACAAATACCCACCCAAGGCCAACCAGAACCACTTTCATCTGTAGTTTTTCAAAATAGGGGATTCTGCAGAGCAACTTCTCCAGGGAATAATGGCAGCTGCTCCTTTCCTCTCCTTCATCAAATACAAGTGGACAATTTTCTGGAGTGGAGCTTTTCCTATGAAACAAATGGGCCTCCTCCTCCATCCCCCACACAATTCCAGCTCACACTCACTTTTCCAGGCTCATTTTCAAGCGTCAGCCTTGGAACAGCCCTCTGCTGTGCCTGGAATGGTAATTCAATGGCAGAGCGCGAGCAGAACTGTATTTCCTTACATCTCCTCTTGCATAAAAAGCTGTTTACTCCCAAACTGTTAACTTTATGGAGACTTACATGGTTGAGCACTCCTGCTGCCGGAGATATTACTTCTGTCTATCACGAGGGAAACCTGTCCAATGAAATTTCTTATCTGTCACCCAGATGCAAGCTGAAGCTTCTTCGGGATGCGCCGGTTATCTGCCTCAGATTAAAAGAGCGAGTGCCATGTTGGGAAGTGATTTGTGATCGCTGGGTTTTAATGATAAGTGTAAAGGACCTCACCTCTTCAGGAGTGTCACTGCAGAAGCTGAGAGCTGAACACGATCTCCTCGGAAAGCAATTTGCGCTGCAATTACAAAATACCGGGGCGTGCGTCATGGAGAGCGAGTGGATTGCAGGGGTTTAATTCTCCATTTACTGCAGGCAGGCGTTCCGTTATTACTGACATCCTTGCCATGTGCCAAGTGCTCAGTGGGGGCTTTCACATGCTAAAGCAGATTAAAGAATCTTCTCCAGCAAAAAGGTCTGTCTTTACCTGCGTGCCTTTGTTCACGGCATGCCCAGCTCTGAAGATAATGAAAGTTGCAAGGAATGCATAACAGCTAAATCAGCTTGCTGTGCAGCATGTCAGTCAGCATGTCATCAGCAAGAGCTCATAGATCACCCCAAGCTAATGAATCTGAACGTAAGAAGAGTCCAGCTGCTCCATAAATCCCTTTTTTTTGGGGTGGGTGCAGCTGGAATAATCTTAACTTTTTCAAATGATTCTTTTCTGCCTTTAAAGAAAACAAACCCAACAGTAGCAAGCGTATTTCAAGTTATATTTGAAAAGAAAACAACATGTGAGGAAACTTTTTAAATTATTATCTTTAAATAAAGTGCTCTTCTTGCTCTCCAACAGCTTCACACCACCTGACAGAACTGTCCTGGCTCTATTCTTTAACAACAGCTATAAAACTGAAGAGAGAAGACAAGTAGGTTTATTGCAGAACAAGTTGTGACTCAGACAGATTCACTTAAGACATACCAAAGAGACTTTTTTTTTGCTCATTCCTATAGGAAAAATGACTTTAAGTTTTTGAAAAAAAATACAAATCCACACCAATCAGGCAATCTGGGTTATTTCTCCCAATGGAGAAAACCATTGGGAGCCCAAGGGCTGTGCAGCCCTGTGCTGAGCTGCCCAGTGGGAGCACGGAGGGCTGGGTGGCCTTGAGACCAAAGAAAACAACTGCAGGAAGTACAGGGGAGATTTCCATGCATCATCTCCTCACATCCCTGCTTCCAGCCACATTGTGCTTACAGCACCCACCTCGTTTTATAGCATGTTTAATAATAGGCAATTTCAGTAAATGCATATGGGAGGAAAGCCTTTAGTTTGTAGTGCCTGCTATTAACATCAAAAATCTTGTTACCTCGGGAGAATGGCCATGGGCTTGATCTTAAACCACCAGTAGGATCAATTTTCGTTAGGAAAGTAACTGGCACTGAGATTTTGAGCTGAACACTGAGTTTGGCATTCTATGAACTGATCAACAAAAACTGCCCATCTAATGGCGATATGAAATAATTAAGGACATGCTGTATGATTGCTGCCTTAAATCCCTACACCGGCTCTGACATTACGTGATGCTCAGTAGGAAAGCCAATAAAAGTCTCTGCAAGGTTATTTTTCCTGTGTTGTCAGCACATTGCTACTTAATGACTTTTAGAGTAGGTCAACTGAAAAGTGGTTTCTTTCACCGTTATATGTTACTATCAAGATTTTATTTCGTTTGTCAGCTGTTATTTCTAAACTCCAGGAGCTGTAAACATGATTTTTGATTTATTTATTGTAAAAAATGATTATTTTCTAGTCACCACACAGCTGATTTTGAAAAGCTATTCCTTTTTTATGACTGCACAATCCTATCATCTTATATCTCAAGCACCATAGAGAGAAAAGCTACTTCATAATTACAAAACCTGTCTCTACCTTTGGTTTCCTTGCTGGCTGTATTAAACGTGCTTTTATGTCAAATGCATGAACCTGAAAATGTATGTGAGCCACATCTCCAAAGGCATGGCCCAACCTGCAAAGTGGACACGGACTGGGGAGACAAAAAGATTGAGATCAAGCTAATCTCTGGGGAGGTTCACCAAGGCAATGCTCTAAAAAACTCATATATATTCATATATATACACATACTTCATGTCATCCACAGTCTCAAACAGAGCTTTATTTGTCTGCATTTGATACCTTATGGTCACACCTCTCAGCTCAGGACCACACGTGGCTGGTTGGGTGTTCAGCAGTGAGGTACGTAGAACAGGGTCAGGCAGCAACACTGGGGAAAGCATCGTCAGTGGGTGTCAACTGGTTACACTACAAAACAGAATAAAATAAGGCTGTTTTATTAGGAGGACACCTCAGAAGGGAGAGTTTGTGGCTTATACCCCTCCCTTGATGCCCTGTCCCTGGAGGTGTTCAAGGCCAGCTTGGATGGAGCCCTGGGCAGAATGGTCTGGTATCAGATATGGAGGTTGGCCGCCCTACCTGCAGCAAAGAGGTTGGAGCTTCATGATCCTTGAGGTCCCTTCCAATCCAAGCCATTCTATGATTCTATTGTTCTACACGCTGCACAAAACCAACTTCAAGTGATTTTACGACTTCAGTTCTCAATTCAAGCCAGCAGGGGCATAATCTGCCAGCACAAACCATCACTTGGTACCACCAGATCTCCTGCTCCTACCCAGGGCAATAGGAGCAGCCTAAGCTCAAGTTCAACAAGGGCTTAAAAGGCACCACTGCTGCTCAGTCAGTACAGCAAGTGGCCAAAGCCTGCTGCACGCCGACCCAGCTATTAATGCATACAAGGCTACCTTTCTTTTCAAGAAACTTGAACAAATTTGAAATGAACTTCCAATGAAATATTAATACTTATGTATTTCCTGCATATAAGTGATGGCAGAATTTGGATCCCTGCCTATACCTTTAAAAGCAAGCTTTGAATAATGCATGGAAGATAGGAATTAAATAGTTGTCTTCTCTAGAAGATAGAGTTGGACCTTTATTCTTTTCGTTTCCTCGTCATTAGCTTTATAACCAGCTTCTCACTAGTTCATGAATATTAGAAGAATTTGACAGTGCAATATATTGCAATTGAAAGAATATTAATTAAGGTTCATCTCATATTCTATGGCTCTCTGTAATATCATCTGAAAAAGAGTCATTATACCAAACTGGGAAGTCACGCTTTATTCAGGACAGTGTTATCTTTTTAAGCAGATGTGAAGCTATTAATTTAAACAGTAAAACATTTCAAAACCTGTATTCCTCATTGTTTCAGATATTAAGAACTGCCTTTACCTACTTAAGCAGTGAAGATTTTACTTGATTAATCTTTTCAGAGAACGGGGACTGTGGGTTCTCCACGATTATAACTTTCCTCCTAACAAATCAATGCAGAGAGCAGGACAAGTAAATTACCTCCACAACAGCCACTGACAAACTGGCGACGAGTCCCCAGCATAAGTCATTCCCATATTGTTTCTGATGCTTTGCATTATGGCATAGCAATTCTCTGATGCCAGAAACAATGCCCACTTTACTGCAAATTAGTACCACCAGAAAAGTCGCATAATCTATTCCTTCTGTTTCTCTTTGCTCATAAATAGCAATTTAAATACTCTAGGGATCATCCACTCAGTAAGTTATCATGCTGCTTTCCAGACTCTGAAGAGCTCTATCCTTAATGGAACCAAATCCAACTCTTTTAGCCTTTTTATTTTTTAGTCAGGAAGACAAACATGAACACAAAAACCCCATAAAAACAGGAAGTTTTTGTACTAAGAGGCCTAAGAAAAAAGTTCCCTATTCATTGCACTGCCTCCGTGTGAGGTTTTACGAATGGAGACAAATAGCTTCAACAGACAAATTATCTCAATTCTGATCAATTCTTTGGTCCCTCAGGGAATCAAAAGAGGATGCAAATCTGATCAGAATTTTTTGTTTTGTTTCCCTATGAAAACATTACTAAATCTACTAAACTGCAATAATTTAGCCACCAATGTGCTGCCTGGCGCTCACGCATCGTGTGCGTCTCACAGGCCACTGTTACCAGTAAAGCCTATTTAAAAATAGCCCAAATTTTGAAACAACCAGCATTGCTACATCATTTATTTAATTTTTATATACTCTGAATTGATATAAAATAGTATAACATTTGATTGAAAGCATACTGTTTATAAACTGCTGTTCTAGCGTTAGAGTTAGTTTGAGTTTATTCTTTAAAATTGCCATATAACATTTAATCTGTAGTGGAAAATTGTTTGGCAGCAAACCTTCCATTGAACTATAGCAATAAATGTGTTTCCTTGCACAGGCTGCAAAATTCACTTGAACCCTAATTCTGTTTATATTCTCTGAATGACTGTGGATTAATGACCAATGAAGTGAACAAACAAGCCTGGGTGTGCCAGTCTGCCAATAAATAATGCAGCCTGCAGTACCATCACCCTGGCTTTGACACAGCCTATTGCGTGCCGTCAGGGCTGAAGGACCATGGAAACACTGAGCTGCTGCAAGCTCTTGATTTATCTCCTCTGTTCTCTTACTCCAAATGGTTCCAAACTAGACTCAAATTTGTTGTGAGGTCTGAGACCCTCATCTCGCCTTACCAGTCTGAAAGCTTGGATTCATCTTGTCTTTTATCCAGTTTTACTTGGGTCCACCTGAAAACCTTTTGGGCTTCAGATTAATTTGGACCATCACTGAGAAGCTCAGCGCTCCGAGCACCGCGCTAACTCACCCACCTGCTTTGGTGCCTCTACAGACACTGCAACCAAATTGAAATGATTACTAAAATTGAGCTCGTTCTTCTGGTTATGTGCTGCAGCTGTGCTGATTTCTGCCACTTCTGTGGTTACCATCCTTCATTTTTTCAGTAAAATCTTCTGTTGGAAAAGTGAATGAGCCTGCCCAAGGACTCGTCCACTTTTACAGGGAAGCTAACACTGCAAAGCCATCAATCTTTGCTGCATTCCCAGTTTTACTGCAACTCTCAGCTGCATGAAAGGAAAGCAATCAGGCCAACAATTTCACTGTGATCAGATCCCAATTCTTTTAGTTTCTCTTCCATTTCTGAACAATGATTCACCCTGCTTCACTTCCTTACCTAATAGTAGATGTTTTTTTCCAAATAATTTATTGCTTGCATGAAGAAGGGTCAAAATACTAATCAACATTCATAATAATATCCTCTTAGATCGTTTTAAAACAACTCTTTAATTAATGGGAAGAAATTGAAAGTGTGTATTATAAGCCCATCAGGATTCTTATATGATACTGTCTATCTCTAATTGCTATCCTCTTTAAAAGGCATGCCCTGAAAGCAATGATCAAGTCTTAAATGCCTGAAGTTAAAGTTCAATTACATCAGATGAAGGGAATGCTGAAAATTGGCCGACTTATTAAAATCTGTGTAATTTGACTGCACACCATATCTAAATGCGTTGAACAGATTCTGAGTTAATGTTAATGATAACTGCAGCACTGGAACATTGGGTTCTGATCTCCCACTGGGACCAGAGGAGAAAGACAAGGCCAAGAGGGGGAACACAGCCAAGGCATGAATCGTAGAATGGCCTGGGTTGAAAAGGAGCATAATCCTCACCTATGTGCAGGTCACCAACCAGCAGCCCAGGCTGCCCAGAGCCACATCCAGCCTGGCCTTGGATGCCTGCAGGGATGGGGCATCCACAGCCTCCTTGGGCAACCTGTGCCAGTGCCTCACCACCCTCTGGCCGATGGATGGGAGCAGTGTGAGGAGGGCATGGGGCTGCAGGTGGGTAAGGGGGTTGGAGCAGGGATTCATGATAAAATAACAGGACTTGGAGAGATGGATGCCAATAGCTTTGAACAGTTTCTGTCTAGTGAACAATTATTCATTGCTGAGTACTAAGTACTACATAAACATTTTATGAATATAAATAAAAGGAAATAAATTTCTCCTTTATATGGGACAGAACTGGAATAGCAGTAAACTTCAAAGTCACTTAAGATGCTATTTTTCCTTCAATCTCTATTGAGCAAAAGTGATTCTGAGCCACCAAGGAATGGGTACAGCTACTTTTTCCTCTCACTACTTACCAACAAGAGAAAAGCCTAATACAGAAATCTTCTTATATCCTGTCTCAGTTTCCAAATGGAAGCTTAAGATGGATTGCCCGGTATTGTATCTCCAAAATCACTGAAATCTCCTAAACGAAAACCCCCAAACATAGACAGCTTCCATGCTCTGTTTTCCAACATGCAAATGAATGGTGATGACACATTGCAGTGCTTATTTTTAGTGCTTGAAGGCAGCGCTGGCTGAAAGCTCACGGCTAAGAGATGCAGCTGCTGAGCATGTCTCAAGTGGGGTTTTAGGAGGAGGATGGGCACTTCTGGAAGACAACTTCACCCCCAGTGAAACAGAGAGTTCTCTCTAGTTAAAGATTTCTTGCTGCCTCCTATGCCTGGAAAACAAAGCCGTAAAGACATTAATGACATTGCTTCCTTGCAGTGTCCTATAAGAAAAAAGAGGGCAAGGAAGGACCAGCATCTTCCCAGGGAAGGAAAGGATATGGCCAAAAACCAAGAGAAGGGATGGAGGGCAAAGCAGGCTGGAAGATGAGTGGTTTTGCATGGACCAGACCCAGAGGACTCTTGAGGCCAAGGCCAAGTGCTGGGGGAAGGGAACAGGCAGTAGGCAAAGGCACCTTTATGGGACTGACCTCAGGAATTAACTCAGCTGAATCAGTGCCGAGGTTCCAAGAAGTGCTCTGGGCAACTTGGTGAGATGCAGCAAATTGCACCTGGTGTCAGGCACGCGTGATGGTGATGACAACTGAAATCTTAAAAATAATCTTTGTACTTTTGCTCTCAGCTTTGTCTGGAGGATGTGCGCTGGCTTTGTGGAATCACTGCACTGAGCTGTAAATGATGTATGAAATGGAAAACCACAGTTCAGCCACTGCAGAGAGAAACCATAGGCTGGGCTTTTTAGTCACTCATAAACTGCACTATTTGCACGAATATCAAGCACAGACACACCAGAAAAGCTCGCCAAACTTGCACAGCCACTCAAGACACGGCCCAGTGGGAACACAGCAGGGCTGTTCAGAAAATAACACAGTAAAAGCCAGTGCAACATTCAGAAGATAATTCTGATTCTAATGGAACCTTGGCTCTGAACAGAATTACAAGTTGTTTGCTTTCTGTTGCATACACAGTAATTTCATCACAATTTCACTGAGCTGACCGTGGGGAGCTGCCTGCACCTCTCTTGATTCTCCATCACAAATCCACTTGTGATTTTATTCTCATAGCACCATTGGTTTTAGCATGAAATTATCATACCAGGATATACATCCCAGATAAAGGTATATATATTCTTGAGCACAAACCCCAGATCTAAGTTTTTGGACTCTATCTCAATTTCCAAGCGGTGCTGTTAGGAGAGGATGCTTGCATGAACATGCCAGCAAATGTCTGGAAGACAACTCTGCAATTTTTTTGCTAAGGACAGAGTCACAGAGCCATCATAGAAGCACAGAATCATTAAGATTGGAAAAGACCTCTGAGATCATCAAGTCCAGTCTCAATCCATCATCCAGCACCACTCAGTCTCTCAGCTATGCACAAAAGCATAAGGATCAGCCACTGAAACTCTGCAAACTTATTTCAAACCTTGCATTTTAAACCTCCCCCACCAGCAGAGGAATCCTTGTCCCCCCTACCCCCATGCCTCAGGGCCACATCCCTGTCCCCACTCCAGCACCAACACCAGCAGGAGCCGTGGGGAGGGCTGCAGACACAGCACTGAGCAATCTCTGCAGCTGCAAGATGGGCTTTGTGCTGAGGATGCCTCAGGGACGAACACAGCTCACTTGTTGTTCTGTGAGCTTACCAAGAATGGTATCCACATCACAAACCCCATCTATTCCAAGGTCATTGGGCTAAAAGAGAAAATATAAATCACTTTCATTACTCAGGGTTTTTACCCTCGGTTCCCAGATTAGAGAAGATCTCGGCCTCTGAAGGCATGTAACTGAAAGGAATGGATTGACTAGAGGGTTAGGAGCATCAGGGAACCGCAGCATTTCAATGGCCATTTCTGACATTCACCACCAGCCTTCTGAGCTCTCGTTTTTTGTCCCACTTCTCCTTCATTTCCACAGACAGATGGCAAACAAGTAATATGGACACAACAGCGGCAGTATTTCACTTCCTTCTATCTTTCCTTCTCCATAATTAATTCACCCAGTGCAGCCTGCCACTCCATAATCAATTAAGCAAAAAGCCAGGCCTTTTAATTTCAGTGCAGCCTGATATCTGATGCATACTCTCATTTTCTTTCTGCACTTCATGGAATGCCATGCCCACACCAGACTCACTTTCAGCCACTGCACACACCTTTCTTTTGGACTCTATTGCAGACAGAGGAAACTGAGGTTCGCTCTCAGACTTCCCACAGATGCTTTCTCATACAGAGTTCTCCCATCACTACTGACCAAACCAGCTATACCCAAATCTCCTTATTTCACAGGAGCTGCTTCTGGCTGACCAGTGCTCATAGGACAATGTTCCCAGCGCAATGTTATAACCTGAAACAAAAGCTTTATGTCCCTTCAGTACATTTACCCCATTTAATGAATAACTCAATATTCTTACTACTCGTATAAATATTTAATCTTTAACAAATCCCTTGGAGTCCTTACAGTCAGCAACGCTGAACGCTGGCTAACTAAAGCTTATGCAAGAAACAATGGGCTTTATTAATTTCCTGGAGTTAGGCATGGTGGTCTTTGGCTGGTACCCAACAAACAAACAGCCAGAGATGCTTCACTGTGGGGAGCCCTTGCTAACTTCTCCAGCAGAAACAGCTGAAAGAGTGGATTTTCTCTTAAATCATTCCACCCATACCTATTCAGGGGAAAATCAAGAATCTATTTTGTTTCATCCAAACCCCCGCTGCTCAGCATTCTAACACAGCTCCTGCAATGCAATTCTGGCCTCCCAGCAAAGCCAAAATCTTCATGTCTTCTCAGACTGCTTATTCAGATCTCATCTCCAGAGCTCCTGGTTTTTGGAGTGGCTGGCAGCAGAGCTACTCCCAGAAAAATCCATTTGCAGAGGCACTGAAAGCATCACCTCAATCAGGGTAGGAACTCTCTGGTGAGTGGGGACCACAGCACCCCCTGGAGCATCCATGGAGGGAATCGCTGACAGGTCTTGAAAGTAACCTTTAACGTAATTAACTCCCTGGGTGGCTTTAATGCTTTAGCAGATGGAATATTAATTTACCAAAGCACTTTCAACAAAGGATAACAGGGCCACAAAACAAACTGCAGCACAGGAAGATACCTTCAGCAAGACTGCTCCTCACGTCCCCATGGGTCTGAGCAGAGCTGCTGGAGAGGCCACAGACACAGCAGAATTATCCCTGCGTACAGCTCGTGTTTATCCCCGTCAACAGAAAAAAAAGCATGCAACAAAAGCCTGCAAATGTATCTTGTTAGCAGTAACTCTTCAAACATTAAGGAACAGGACAGGAAATTCTGCCTCCCTGCAAAGCAATAATCTTGTTGGCAAAATAATAGTCTAAAAAGATGAATGAAATGTTGCATTTTTCCTGGGCCTGAAATGAGACTGGCCAGCCCCCCCTGCAGAAGCTGCCTGTGTGCAGACTAACTTCCATCAGCCCTGTGGCACTCTCTTTGCTTCATGTAATAAAACCATCATCCTCAGTAGACATCCAACAGTGAATGCACATCAGCAGTCCATATGTAATTACTTGCAAAAAACCCCACCATTTTTATGATGCTGACAGTCAAAAAACAAAAATCAAAGTGTGATTTTAAGACCAATTAAGAGGACACAAAAATTTTACCAGCAGAGATTCGTTTTAAAGTCCGTCCTGATAAAATACATTGGTTTGAAACAGTCTGTCAAGATATAAAAAATTGCAGTTTGTGGGCCCAGTTTTGGAAAGTCAACTGTGGGAGTCCAATGTTTTCCCCAGTACTATTTAAATATAATGGATCAGAAACAATAAAATTATCCTTGATATAGAAATACAGTAAGAAGTAGAGCAGAAAAACATGCAGAAATATCTCATTTTAGAGTGCACACTACAGTACTGAAATGCTGATGGCGATGATAGCAGCATCACAAAGCTATCCAAGTTTTGGAAAGGTGCTCAGTGTATTGGAACACCCATCAGGAGAACTCAGAAAGCATGCAGGTGTTGGAGGAGCAGAGTGGTGGCAGTGCTGGCACCAAGGACTTCACCACATCCTCCTCCCCCCTGCCACCTCCTGCCTCCCAGCCGCCCCATCTCTCTCTTCTTACCAGATGCCTCCCATGTGAGATGAGGGTTTTCTCAAATCTTCTTCCTCTTTCCTGGAAATGTTCTTGGCTCTGCCACATGGTTCTTCCTTCGTTTTCTTCCCACAGTGTTATTTCTCTGCTTTCCACCATCTGAACCATTCTGACCCTGATCAAGCTTCTGTTATTCAGGTAGAAATACCGCTTTTCCCTTCTTTTAATCACTTTTAGTCTCAGCACATTCATTCACTTCATTCTCACTCACACATTCACTTCTTCCTCTCCTCCACTCACCAGTAAGTTCCTTACCAGACAAACCCATCGTTTTGTTCAATCTCCAACATGATGTTCCATCTGCAAGAACAAGAAACCCCATCCACAGAAATCCTGTGCTGTGAGCTGTTTGAACTGAAGTCTTCATCTGTGCATGGGGCCTGTGCTGCTTCCTCTGAAAAGCATTAATCAGTAGAATGAGAACCTCTGTTGTGTCTATCTGTTATCTCCAGAAAGTCAACAGAAACTATTTCTCTTGTGTTTTCTAGACTCATTTATGGATTTCATCAAAATGTTTAACGCCCTGCAATTACAAGTAAAACCTGAACTGAAGGTGTATTTTGGTGATGGTTAACTGTTGATTTTAAGTCAAGGTCCTTCCTCAGGCAAGGATCGTGTTGCTTCTCCAACCACTGCCCCCATCTCCAAACTACAGAAAATCAATTACACTCCTGTTCTCAGCTGCTCAATTAAGCCTGCACCACACTGGGAAGCACCGCGAGTGTATTTGGTCTGCAGCAAACACACACACACACAGGAGCTGTGCTCTTGATAAGAAGGGGCTGCTGTGGTTTGAAAGCACATCAGAAATGCTTACTGCTAAATCTGCCATTCTTTTTGAAGCTGTTTTTATCACCTTGTGATCTTCCCACTTCATGAAAGAGCAATGCACAGATTCTGGGAAGCCCTATGTTTTCCTTTTTGCTTTCTCCTGATAAGGCCAGAACAAGGCTGGCAACACTAAGTGGATTTTGTGAAGTGCATTGGAAATGGTGCACCAGGGAAACAAGGAGGCAAATAGAACTGTACATACACAAATTATCAGGAATTCTCTCTGTTTTGCAGAGCTGCTTGTCACATCTGTAGAGAAGGACAGTAAGCTCTCTGTGGATTGGTCTGATTCACTCCTGATGCTCCCAAGCATCATTGCTTTCTATGTTCAACTCTTGGTGTCTGCCTGGTTCTGTTGGGTGTGAGGGAAGGCTGCAAAATACATCCCTTCTGCTCCCAGCCTGAGCTCCCTCTGGTGCTGGGCACTTTGCTTGAGCTCTAGTGATGATGGGGTGCTGCAGCCTCTCCCCTGGGCAGCCAACTGTGGGACATGAGCAGACCTGCAGTGAGCCTGCAAGCAGCCTTTACTGGGGCAGCAACCGGGCTGAAGAAAATGACAAACATATGGACTGAAAGAGTCACAAGCTGAACAATGAAATAAGCATCCATCGAAATGAATTTGGCCTCATCTCCTCCATAATGCCCTCATGCTTCACATCACCCCAGAGAAGCATCGTAAAAATAGGATCACTTGGTACAGTAAGAACCTGACAGTCCCTACAGACACTGCCAAATGTTTCATCCAAATTACCTACCCCACAGTCCAGCAACTGAAATAAGAACCTGAGTTGGCTGGAAGGCGAAGTAGAAGGAAAGACTTTGTAATTAAGTCATCTTTCTGAAGGCAGTTAATCTCTGCAGAGGTCTCTGTGAGATCACATAATTAAAGATCCCATTATGATGCATAGTGCAGATTACAGTATTGCTTTATTTATAAGTGCTTCTTTGGTAACCTCAATGCCTGTCTTGGCATATAAGCTGGTATTTCATAAGAAGCGATGCGGAAACCCGCTAAGTGTAATGTTATTCCAGATGCATCTTTTGCTGCGGGAATGTGAATTTGCTGCAGCACCTCAGGCCCTTCCTGCACTCCCAGAGCTATTCTGTAGCTCTGGAGGGAGAGCACACTGCCCTGCTGCTACTCTCTTTGTGCACTGCAGACTCACCACCACCAGCATAACGGCTTCTGCACACATTTCAGAGCCATCACTGCTGATAGACTGGGATGAGAGAAAGGTCACTCAGCCTGCAACACTCCAGGAAAGCACGCTTATGGGTCAGATGTTGGATCTTGCTCTTGGTAGATGCTTCATGCTATGAGGCAATGGGTTACTCCGCATTCTGTTGCTGTTGGAGAAACACATTTCCCAGCCCATGACCACTGCTTGAATGCAGACCAGTTGCAAATCCTGTTCTTTTTTTTTATCAATCTGTAAAACAAAAGTAACACAATACTTTAAAGCAATAGTATCCAAGGAACATGACAGAGAAGGCAGATAAAGCCGTTAGCAATAAATTCACTGCTTTAAGGAACCGGATGCCACTACAGCTTTCTCCCTGCTGAAAGCCGCACGTTGGACTCACACACAATCTTTTATTATCATGTTTTCAGAATGCTTTCCTCCTTCATATATCATAGAATTTGCTGGGTTGCAAAGGAGCACAGTGCTCACCCAACTCCAACCCCCTGCTGTGTGCAGGTCACCAACCAGCAGCCCAGGCTGCCCAGAGCCACATCCAGCCTGGCCTTGAATGCCTGCAGGGATGGGGCATCCACAGCCTCCTTGGGCAACCTGTGCCAGTGCCTCACCACCCTCTGGCTGAGAAACTTCCTCCTAATATCCAACCTAAACCTCCCCTACGTTAGTTTAAAACCATTCCAGATAAGACACAGCAATAAAAAAATAAATTAAAAAGTCAATAAAAAGGTGCTGCCTTCAAGGACTTAAAGGAAGCCTATAAACAGGAGGGGAATCAACTCCCTTGAAAGTGCAGACAATACCAGGACAAGGGGAAATGGCTTTAAGTTGAAGGAGGGAAGATTGAGGTTGGATGTCAGGGGGAAGCTCTTTCCTATGAGAGTGGTGAGGTGCTGGAACAGCTGCCCAGAGAGGCTGTGATGCCCCGTCCATCCCTGGAGGTGTTCAAGGCCATTGGATGGGGCCCTGGGCAGCCTGGGCTGCTATGAAATGTGGAGGTTGGTGGCCCTGCCTGTGGCGAGAGGTTGGAGATTCATGATCCTTGAGGTCCCTTCCAAGCCAGGCTGTTCTGTGATTCTGTGATATGAGCTCCAAATATTTGTTCCCCAACTTGGAATTAAAACCTTGAATTCTGAAGTCTTTATCAAACATAATTTCCTCCATTTGGAG